TAATGTTTTGATTAACTGAGAGAATATTTCAAAACATGAGATACTGCCATATACATAGTATCGTCGCATAACGCCAAGAGCGGGTAAATTGGGTTCGATGCAGATCACAAAGTGTAAACAAGCTTTCTTCCACAACAAGGTGACTAATCTAACTCTGTTCTAGTTCTGTGGACCCAACTTTGCCCAGCCTTGGCATCCAGGTACGGAACCTTCTAGAACTACATGTCTGACTATACGCATGGGCTTTAACAATGGGAGCAGGATTAAAAAATTCCTATAATGCGACAAAAACCAGCAAAAGTTATCTGTCCGTCCCAATGGTAGGCAACCTGAGGGCTTCGGGGCGGATGTCGGGAGTATTATTTGCGTATGTATATCTGATTAGCTGCCTCGAATGGTAGACGCTGTCGAAAAAGCTCTGCAGCTGGCTCACGAGAGGTTCTTGCTTTAGATAACCGAGCCTAGAGAGCAGGTGACGATCGACTGGGGAAACCGCAAATATTGCGCGGGCTTGGAACGTTACAAGCATTCCAATGAACAGCGAAGCACTGTCATTCATGTCCGTGTCGTATGAATCGTGGGCAGATGGTTTATCCCCCAGAGGAGAAAAACTAAGCTCTCGTTAGCGGCCAAGTCAGGGTTGCTAAGTGTTCCGTAGGCATACCAAATATACTCCTCCTCACCAATGCTATGTTGACAAGTTAGTCGACTAGTCGGCAATAGTTCTTGGCCCAACTTACCGGCGTAACGGTACAAGCGCAACCGTTCCCAAAGTTACCTGCTGGAAGAATTCTCGGTCCTTGAAGCGTAGGTCTTTATAGGAAGCGACACCAGAATTTATTTTGGCTCCACCGCCGTCGAAAATAATCCACCTAACCCTGCGCGGCTCCGCGTTGGGTGTAGCCTTCTTGTCTTGGTACAAGAGGTAAATCTGCTTACACATATCTTAGCTTCGGCGGCATGGTGGATGTGTCTAGAGTAATACCACTCACGCTAACATCTTCAGGGAGATATTTGGCTAAATTTCCGTACAGTGGGAGCGGCCTCGCTAGCTGATATGCCTGAGGGTCGGTTGTTTGCGTAGAAAGATTGAGTTCTGGTGGATCCAGGCCTCGATAGTTGGAGAGTGCCGGTGGAGGGTCGCCGTTCAAGGAATGACCGCAGGTCGAGCCCATCCTGCCAGTAGACAATAAGGGAGGCAAAGAAGGCACTAAGAGAGACGAAGAAAATCGATTCTGCTGTGAGTTGAAGATGGTTGAAGGGTGGGTGCGATTGCGCAGATATTTAACCATGCAGCGTAAGGCTCTACACCTTGGGATCTACTTTAACTGCAACTACTTGCAACGCCGCATGTCTAGCACCATTTTGACCTCTGGGTGCACTCTGCAAAGCATCGAGACAGTCACACCTTAAATTGAAGTAAAGAAAACCGAAAATAGGGATAGTACACACTAAGAAGGAGGCTGGAGCGAGGAAGTCTTGGTGCATGATTTGAGATATGCAGCAAAGATATCCTCTATCCTGCCGAATCCTTCACAGTACTCATTGCTATACTGGAACCAGAATGGGCGTAAGTCCCTTTTCAGTAGCTCGCTTCCCCACTTCTCTGCGACCTCCGGGATATCTTCCGCTGAGATATTCCATTTCGAATCTAACATCACGTCGCAGAAGAGCTTTCCCGCACCCCCCATAATGCCATCGAGTTGCGCCAATCGCTCCCACCTCGGCCTGATACCCCTTACGGTGAATATCCTAGTATGGATCGTTAGAAATATTGACGGTATCGTAATGCAACGTTACCTACAATGCGCCTTTTTCACCCTGAGCCGTTCTAGGAAACATAAGATCACTATTGGAGGTCAGCTTAATGTGTCGCCACTAAAGATTAAAAACTCCATACAGTGGAAATTCAATTGCACAGGCAGATCCGAGCGTCAGCGTCTTGAGGTTATTGTGGATATAGATTGGTTGGCCCCAGCCTGGCTCATCGGGAACTCCGTTAGTGTACAATAACAGCGTCATAGTGGCGGGCGATATGTCGTTGGGCGCCCTCCAGATGCTCCATTCGATGGTGACTTCTCCAGTAAAATCTTCACCCGGCGTTTGCATACTGCAATTAGGAAGCAGCTGATAAGAAAAATACTGTGTGGGGTCCACGCTATACATGGTTTAACAATTTAAAGGAGAACGATATTTGGCAAGATACAGAAGACAATATCTGATCTATAGCTGTGGCTGTGGGGTATCACTCCTTTTTATACGTTAGCTGGCAGCAGTCCTTATACTAGGTAACTGGACCCTAGTACCGGCAGCATCTGTTGTACTGCATATTATACATTACGTTCCAGACCAGAAATGTACGAGCTATCCAAATGCCCTAGAATTAAAGAATGGGGGACGGGTTTACAACGGATATCTGCATGATACTAAGCCTTCCCGCTAACTAACCAATTACACGCATCCTAGTTCTCGCGCTCAAATCCTGGAGTGCCACTCGGACGGTTACCCGTCCAAAATACCAGTTTTTCGCCTTCCGCTGCATGCATACTGCTGGCTGTCTTCGCAGCAGAGGGTTGCCGGGCTAAAATAATCAGTGAATGGCAAACCGTAGTAATTTGATTATTAAACTTACGGTTTGAATCTCTTGTAGGTCGCGCATATGATTGGCAATCTAGACGTTGGCGTTTATAACCATTTGGCCTGTTTTGCGCAGCGTCTGTATGGGCATTCTTCGAGGGCCTTTTCCGAGATTCACTCAAAGGCGTATCCAGCTGGGCAGATAAGTATGTTTTGTCAACCTGGTCAAGTGCGTCTATTAACTCGTTTCGAAAGTGTATTAAGATGTCCGGCGTAGCAGACATGAGCGTATTGAGAGCTGATTTGAATTTTTCTTTTTCGATTGAATCCATGGGGAACGCGTTCTTGCGGGAGATAGAATAGGAGTAGGGAATGAGTAGTTAGTAGTAAATTCAAGGAGAATTCCCGCGTTATATAGACCACGCGTTAGAGCGCATTATGATACGGGCTATCCATGGCGTTTTTCATTATCGAGATGCGTCAAGAAACACCGCTGAGAAATAAATTATCCAAAGCATTTGAGTCGAATTTGTAGTAAAATTGTAGTAAAATATTAAAAGCATCTAGTGGACGTATAACAAAACAAAAGATCTATCTGTACATTGGAACAGATGCGCTTGACACCTCACACACCCCGGATGCACCAGTTGATATTCTCATAATTGGCAGATAAATCAATTGTTTCATAGTGTATTTATATAACCTTGGGGCACGTACTCTGTGCCTAAGTTCCAGGGGTCCCAAGACGTGTAGTAGTTTTGGCCTGGAGTAAGTTCCTGGGCATGAGGATCGGCAGAGGCAAAGGATTGCATCTGCCTCATGTGGTCCATACCGTCGGGGAATTCCTCTGGACCGTAGGATCCTAAATGTTCTGAATAAGTTGGTGCCGCTGAATAAGTTGGCGCCGGGGCAGGGAGCGACCGAGGGATACTGGTTCCCACACCGGAAGCAGAGCACTCAACGCCCGTACATAGTGAAAATTGAAAAGACCGCCTTTTCTCGTCGTTGGAGCAGATAGCAAAGCTTGGTTGAGCGTAACCGACCGACATCCCTTCTATACTGCCGATGATAGATGATGGCGGCGTTCTAGGCTCTGTATTATGGGCTTCAATCTTCTTTTCTTGTTTACGTGTAGATAGATGACGGGTCGGATCATAGGCAGCTCCTGTAGCGTCGTCTATCTCTTGCGGGTCTTCTTCGGTCTTTGAATCCCTGTTGACGACATAAATTACAGCATTTATATCTGTAGTTATATCAGCCCCTATACGAACTCTGAGGATATGTGTAAGCTCACCTGCTTCGCCTCGCTCATAACACTCTTCCGCTCTTCGGACCTTGTAAATCTCATCCAGGATATCAAGTCTCTCGTGGGGTTTTATCTGCCTTTGGGCATATCGTCCTGCTTCCTCTAGCTTATCCGCAGTCATTCCATGAGACTTGCCGAGCTTGCGGAAAATATGGATAAGAAGGCGTATCCGGTCTGGCTTCCTCAGGTGATCGGGTTCACGGTGGGTAACGCCTGCCGGCCACCAGTCGGGCTTGGTCTTCTCTGGGTCCCTCTTCTCGCCAGGTGCTCCTCGTCCTCCATTGTAGGGATGGTTGACTTGCTTCCGTGGCTCAATGATCTTGATATATGCCTTTGCTACCTGGCGACAGTTGATCTGCTGGAATGCTCTGAATGCAGATTCATAGTATGCCTCAACCTTCTCCTCATTTCCTATTTCAAGGGGTACCATTTCCACGTCTTCCGTATCGTTGGCCGGCTCCTCTGGTTCGATGGAGGCATGGTGGATGATCTCTCGGCGGCGCTTCTTTGAGCTATGTGAAGGTAAAAATTTTTCTATCGGCGATTGTATTCCATGTTCATGATTTACGTTTCCTAGTATTCCGTGTAAGTGGATGATATAATACACAACTAGGGAGATTCATACTGGCGAAGAGAGGCGAAGTAGCGTTGACTCCTATAGTTTGTGCGAGCCAATTGCCAAATTCAAAAGTGAATATTGGGCGTCCGAACTCTGGCAAAGATGTATGTAGCTTGGGCTGCCCGTTATCAAAAACTAAGGTGAGAAAATACGTGGGGGAATCCTGAGAAGGGTGCTGAGCGCCTACTCCAGGGAAGGTAGATACTCCTCCAAGATCAACCATTATCAGAGGCTCAAAGTCGAACTGAAGGGGTAGAAGTGCCGAAAAGTGAGGGCAGTCTCTTTTGAAACACAGAGATGCGGTTGTTCGGCGAAAGTGAGAGTGTTATATAAAACTAACTTACAGTACTATCTTCCGCTTCTGCCAGGTGGAATCGATCCTGAGCTGGTGTCTAGACAAAACAAGATAAAGATGCATCGGGCGATCGCATCGTCGCTCCGATTAAACGTCATGCCTTCTCGTAGATCTGGAGGGCCCATGTGCATAGTCTTTGGTGTGAAGGGAGCCGGGGTATGGAAAAAGAAACAAATTGGGCCATACAAACCCCGGCCGGTTGACTATAAGGCCAAAGAGCCCTTTTGAGCCCGGAAAGGAGACCATCTGAGACCATTGAGACGGCGGAGAGCTGTTAAGCGCCAAATCACCTGCTAGTATTCTTGTAGCTAAACAATGCGTATCCGTGTCTATTATTAAGGGCCAGGTTTGTACTCCCCGAAATAACGGAACGGCCCGGTAAGATTTAGCTAACAAGGCCTGAAAAGCGGGCCGCTGCCGCGCGCAGCAGCGGCCCACCTTGGCTGGTGACTGAAGAGTATTCTTTCAGGCGTCGTCACTCTCGCCGCTGTTCTCCAAGCTGACTCCCTGTTCTCCAAGTTGACTCTATCGTAATGGCAGACTTGATACCGAATATTGGCGACAGCGAGAAAGAACAGGTTTCCCTGGCTCTCGGAACATTATCACGAGCACCCCTCTCTGTTCTTAGAGAGCTACGTGAGCAAATCACGACGGTGACCAAAGAAATTAACAGAAAGCTGACGGAAGCTGATGGTTTACCCCACGCTCTACTTCTCAAGAGCGTGTCGAACTCAAGCGAGAAAATCAGGGCATTCGTTCAGAAACCTGAGACGGAATTGCTAGAGAGGAAGTCGGCTGGAGATCTACGCCTCACCGATATCAGACAGACGAGGACGGCGACAGATAGTGACTTGTTTCTTGCATTCTTAGGGGAACGGTCACTTGCACTGGAGAAAGAGAAATGGGAACGCTGGGGACTCGGTTACTCCCGAGTAGATTCGCTGGTTCGGAATCTCGACGCCAGCACCGATCGTAACGGTGTTGTCCGGCAGTTTATGGAGTTTAAGGGGTGGTCCCCTGACAATAAACCCCTTTATCGAGCAATACTGCGTGGGCAGAAGTACCTCGTGAATGAGAGGTTGTTTCCTAATTCCAGGGGGTCGAGCGCCATATACGCATTTAAGGGGAGAGACTTCGACCGTCTTCACTTCAAATCGCTCCCCTTGCTCTACAATCAACTTTCGCTTCTGCACGGTGATATCCACTCTCTCGCACAAAACGTATCCCATAACGTTGATGCATGGCAGGATTCCTATGACAGTAAGAATGATGGATGGCCCCGAGCGAATGGGATGGCTCTAACAAGTGAATATAGAGGGTGCGAACGTGATAATCCAGTGCTTTGCGGATGGGCTCCGGCTCGGCCTGCCTCTTGATCATTCAGCAATAGCACCTCTCCTCGGGGTAGGGCGGGATGGCACCGACACCAGTGTTCGGCAAATAGAGATATCGACAATGGGCGATGTGGACTGGTCGACTACACAAACTGAGGGGAACTGCACACAAACCCCAGGTCAAACGTCATATGGTTAGTCTCATACCAATAGTTATTCTTCGGTCACTAACAATCCTCAGTTCGCCAGACCGCTTCCTCCTCGTTGTCGGATACATACCCTGTTTCCCAGCAAAACCAAGACCGAGCCCAACAGATACACGGCACCCGGAATATTCCAGCAGGGGGGGACCATCTTCTCCCTTCGCAGAGAGGGACGACAGCCCGCTCCAGCATCAATGACAGCCGTAGAAGCACCACAGGGGCTCAGAGCTCGCCCTCGTCGCCATTAGGCCGGTATGAATCTGATCCCAGTGACTATGACTATAGGCCTCACTCCGAAGGTAACTCAGACGGTAGTGAGATGACCTCCACCACTCCCCCTCAAACGAACCAGAGTACCGATAATTTCCGGGTGCTTGTGGATGCTGCAGAAACCTACGCGAAACAGATGAACAAGCGACCCTACCTGGCAGACAATAGCAGCCAGTGCCGAGTATCGCAGCGAAGAAGATTAAGCGAGGAGATAGGAGGTAATGGACTCGCAGACTACGGTTCAGAGATCACGCAGACCTGTCTATAGGCGATAACCCTTCAAATATATATATATTAGAGCGGTCAACCGGGAGCCTCGCGCCGCTTGTGCTCCTTCATCCCTCCGGTATGCGCGAGCGGGAAGGTGGCATCGATCGGGTGGGGGCATATGATCGCGCTGCCTGCATGGGGTGTAGTTGAAGTATGTTGCATCGATTGTTTGCGAAGCGGAGCACTGTTCCGCCTGCATCTGTGGCTGTGGATGGCGCGGCGTTGGCGGATCGTTGGCAGCGCATGTGACATTGGCTGAGAAGGGAAAATCAAGCGGTTGCGAACCGGGGGGGTGAGCTTTCTTAGACGGCTGTCCTCCAAACCATTCTGAAATTATGAGCTATACACACCCCTGGACCTATTTCCGTACGTTCTAAGTACGTCCCTTACAAGATGAACAGAAAGTCTAAGCTATGAAGATCGATAAAAAGGCTCCACAGCCCCGTCGCCCCACCAGGCGCCTCGGCCCGCAAGAGGGCTTCCCGCTCTCTTGGCGATAATGCCTGGCATTATCGCCAAGAGATTATTTTCATCAATGGGTTGATTCCCCTTCCTTTACTTCCATCCTCCTGCTTTCGCTCTCTGCGAGAAATACCCATCCAGCGATATGTCTTCCCCCAACCAAGATGAGGTCAGAAAAGCTTTAGATACCCTTTTACAGGCACCTAACGATGCTCTGAGTGCCAGGATCATATTTGTTTCATCTAGACTTTGTCTTATTCGCCGCTAATACATATAGTAAATATCTTAAATATCTCACATTACAGTCTAAGCTAACTCAATTCACCCACGAAGTCATCCATGACCCTACTTTCCCACCTTTTGGGACATCAAGTATGCATAACCCAAAAATGTCATAACAACAGCGTTCTTCAAGCGGTATTCCTCCAATAGTAACATTTCCAGAAACTAAAAAAGGTATGAGGGCTGTATAGGGACAATCATCTCCTATTCTCGTGCGTCCTTCAAAAAACACAGCCACACCACGCTTGTATTCAGAAGATGTGGCTGGCCTGTATTGACTTTTATCTGCGGCGGCACTCTTAAATATATTATCAGCTCTGGCAGATTAAATATTTACATTGTTGACTTAGCATACATAGGATTGCTCGACTTTAGCTATGAACTGATCCTCGAGGGGTTTTGTAACAATAAATTCAGGCTCCAGGTCCTTTGGGTGGTGTGAGAGGCTGTTGACGGAGTATAGTCTGCTCTCGGCGGCTGCATCATATAATTTTTGGTGCTCCAGTGGAATGTCCCGTCGGTCGACCAAATATCGCGGTATATCTGTGCCCATGACAGAAGTAGCGGCGGAAAATAGTTGTAGATAGGAGTAAAACTCGACTTTGAAGGCGAAATTTGAATAAGGAGTGTTGAAGGAGGGATTAATATCGTAGTTATGGTGGTGACTGACTGGGTATGGTGGGGTGGAGGGGCTCTTACAACAGAATTAGATCCCGTGACTCATCGGAAATTCAACGTCAGCTCCTTAGAGCATTGAATTCCGTGCCCAAACTGGAGCGCAGCACCCCATGCGCCTCTCCGCCTCAGCTTATGAATGCCCTTTCGAAACGAAGTGTAAGCTACAGATGGGTTTATACATTGAGGTAAGCCGGTAACTCGGCCGATTTATAGCGGGTAGCCAATCAGTAATAAGTGGCACTAACCACGGGGAAGTGGACGCATAGTGTAGAAAAACTCACGATAAAAAGGGGGGCTGGAGAGGCGAATACATTACATGGGTGTTATGAACTTGTTTTCACCCTCCAATTATCCTTATTCATTTTGAAATTTCCTTTAATCTAATGTCAGGCCCCCAGCTTCTTAAGGATATAGCTGGGCGCATTGCAGCATCGGCCAACACGACCGCGTGGATCTCGCAGTCCGCTGAGTGCGCAAAGGGGTGTGGAGCTGGGCACGGCCTTGTATCGGAACCACCAATAATGATGATGCCGCAGGCATAAAGAATACAGCAGGTCAATAAGGTATGTATATAGAGAAGGCCGCGTCGATGCCTGATCTACATAGGAAGGATGAGGTATAATCACGTGATACTCATCGATCAATACTTCATAGCGTTCAACACGCCATCGTTCCAGCACGTCCCGCGACTACAAAGAGCACAGTATGCCTCTCAACATCTTTCGCCATGCAATTTTTAATGTCGATGCACTCTGCCAGCTCGCAAGCTCTTTACGTTTTGGGAGATGCTGCTGTTGCGATGTTACTCAAGTACCAGTAGGCGGCAGCTTGTACTGGGCAGTGTTCGTGTTGTTTGACGATGGAGTCGAGTGGGTGTTTCGATCTCCACGATATGATGGCACTATCCGGTCTCCAGAAACGATCCAAAAATTAGTAGCGAGCGAAGCAGCTACGTTAAAATATATCAATTCACATTTAGCCATACCTGTCCCAGAAGTTTACGCGTATAGGTATGATCGATCCGGAAGTTTTCCTAGTATTCTGCTAACCGCCAAAAAGCTGCTCGAAAAACAATAGTGTTGGAGTACCCTATATTTTAATGAGTAAAGCCAAAGGCTCCCCCCTTAGCACAAAGTGGAAACCACGGGGGTTACAAAAATCGGCCCTATCGTTAAAAGAAAAGGCAAAGGTCCTATCTCAACTGGGCTCTATAACGTGGTAACTTTCTCAGCTCCGGTTCGAAGAGATCGGCTCGCTTTTTGAGGAAGAAGATGGCCATTTTCGGGTGGGGAGCTGTTTATCACGGGGACTGGTGGACTTTGACAGAGATAGCTTGGATGAATTACCCCGGGGGCCATTCTCCTGTGAGAACGAATACGTTGACGCCCTGATATTAGCATTTTTGCAGCATGTCGAGTGTCTCCAGCTTCATCATCACTGCTTCTTCGCGCCCCTGCCGACCCGCAAGAGATATGATGATGATCGCGAATATCGCAGAGCGTGCGATCATTGGAATAATTTTGTTGCCCTTGGTTCCAAAATCGACGGCTCCGACAATCGCACTGACTACATGGTAGTCGGACATTCTTTACGCGCAATAGCATCAAAATGGACGATGAAAGGAGCGACGGCAGGCCCCCAGGATACCAATCTTGAATTTACCTTGCATCATCCTGATCTCAATGTGAACAATATATTCGTGGATGACGATTGCAGAATTACATGCATCATTGACTGGGCATTCTGCTCATCCGTCCCTTTATCAGTCCTTCTCATGGCGCCTGGTCTTCCGCAATCCCGAGACGAACTGGAGACCCCTTTAATTACTGCGTTTGAAGACGGACTAAGCAAGTCGATATCTACGGGAGGTACAATACTTTCTAAGCTGCGAGCCTTTCCAAGTCACAGATTCCTTTGGTTATTCTATCGGCTAGTGAGTTTTGATTCTTCGGGAGACTACTCCCAGTTCGAAGAGATCTGGCGATTAAGTGACCAAAATAACCTGGATTTCTCGACGTTTTTCAATCACAACAGCGATCCGATAGCTATATAAAAAAGCACGAGGAAATGAAACAAGACGATGAACCTATAGACTGCGTAATACGTCGTGAGGCAGCCTACTTTCAGAGGGACATGGTTGGGCTGGCAGTATCAAGGAAATTGACCCTAGTTTCCGAATGGACATCTCGGTACCGCAAGATTGATAATAAAGGTATACGACGCAATGGGAGCATATTTATAGCTGATGACAGACTTTGGAAGTGGATTTTGAGGTCGCTAGAGCAAGCGGTAGGTCTGGAGTAGAGTGATCCTGGGCTGTACCATCAAGAACACCAAATATCCGCAGCCCAAACAGCAGGGATGGCCGAAACCAACTCATTGGCCCTCACGGTGAAGAGAGAGACCATCACGAGAGCCACTCCCTGAGCTTCTACCCTTATCCCTGGCCGATAGCCCCCAAGTCGCGGATAACGTCTCTTGGTCAGTCTCGTGGGATTTGTAGCCTGCAACTTCCTATGTTGCGGTTCTTGTATGAGAACCAATATACCCTTTTTCTTCCAACTTCAATATAGCTGATATATATATTATCTATAGGGTCTATTTTTCTTTTATAGAAACCCTAAGGTACAGGGTGTCCTGAAGGAACAGCTATATAAATGATCGCAGTTTCAAGCCTTCGGCTTGAAATCCTAGTCTTTTGCTGTAGTGCAGCAGTTACGTCTTGGAAATGCGCCTCCGAGATTGTGGCCGTGACAAAATCAATTAGCAAAGAAGTGTTTAAAAAAGGGGCTGGGAGTCAAAATTGAATATCAGCACTCGTCCTGAACTATAGCCAAGAATAACAGTCGCTGCTGCCACGGCAGAGCATTCAGGCCGGTACTTTGGCGGGATCCATAATATGTTCTCTGAGTTCCATGTGATCCACGTACGGGTAGAACTAATACCCCAGCCTTGAAAAGGCGACCTTCTAGGCGCGGCTGTAATATCTGAAACCGACGGTACAGGGATGGCGCCAATATCAGTGAGAAGGTATGAGCTGGTAGTATCGAACGATATAATAGGGCCGCGTGACCCATTCTCAACGCTTTGTAGGCAATCGCCGCTACTGGTACTCCAGATCCGGACCGTCATATCACATGATGCCGATGCAATAAGCATAGAGTTGTGAGAGAAGGCGACTGAGTGGACTGAGCTATTGTGGCCCTTGATAGTCTGTAGACAAGCGCTCCAATTATCCTCTACTGTTGGTTTCATTCTGACCCACACAGGCTCCTCCGATGCAAATAGATCCTTTACTAGGCTTCGAGCTGGACTGAATATAAGTGCTGAGCTGTATATCTGGAGAGGCCAGTTTTCTATCACATGTTTATGGTTCAAAATAAATCGGCGTGCATCTTGGATAAGGTAGATGAGCTGAGATCTCTCCGCGCTTCCCTAAGTGCTATTAGAATAATCTCGGAATAGTATGGCTTTAATAAGAAAGACTCACCTGGAGTATATACTCAAGCTTTGATATTGCAAGAATCCCTTCTGAACTGCTTCCAAAAAGGCTAAGAGCTTCAAGCCAATATAGATAAGTTTCACTGAAAAACCCATAGATTATTCTGCCTAAGGAATCCTCTTCTGGTCCAGGGGCTTGGTCAGAATAATAGTCAATCAGATGGCTAACCCAATGGATGCATGAATACCGCACAACAGCTAGTGGGTCCTGCTTAGGTTGTTGTACCTAATTAATAGAGAATCTCGGTACCTTTAGGTTGTAAATATCACGCCGTAATATTCTGGACATAGCTTGTAGTGATTGCGAGAAGATGGTATAGTGTTCATTTTTTATCCCAGATGGGAAAATCTTCTCCTTTGATGGATTTCCAACTAAGAAGTCCTTGGCAGATTGATGGATAAATAGAATGGTAGGTCCCTTAACAGTTAGAAAAGAGCCACAAAGCCTGATAATTTCCGCTAGATACTCATTGTTCGAGAAGCCGTCAGGAAGATCAATGAAAGTCATAAGCTCATCCAGTGTAATAGGCCGGTATACAACTGAGACAATAGCCAGTATGCGAATACAAAGTATAGCATCCTCGGAATTGCTGATCTGGTCCATCATCCGTTGGTAAATTTGATCCAGCCCCGGAGGAAATGCATCCAATTTCGAGTCGATATGGTGGAGTCTGACCTCTCGCCTTGCAAGTTCTCGACAGACTAAAGCAACCCAGAGAAAGGTATTATTTGCGTTTAACGATAGACGGCGATGGACTTTGTCCTCCGTACCCTTACTATAGTTCTTTTCCTTCGCTAGTTTTTCAACCATATGCTTGATATATATAGCAACAGCTGCTGAGATGGATTCTTCATTCAGCTCGAGAGAAAGTAAGGATTTCTGTGCTGCCATATTAAGACTATCCTCAATGCTTGGCCAGTGGCGGCTGGATACAATCCACTTAAGGTTTGAATATGTCGCTGATGTCTGCCTAACCAGGTTAAGAAGATCTGTTAGGCCTGTTGTACATTCGTCGAGCGCATCGATGATCAGGAAGTTGTGGTTCAAGGTCCGGTCTTCTAGGATGTTTTTAAAGATATCACACACGGTAATCCAAGCATTTATACGCTTGAATATGTCTCTATAATTATCATACTCCTTCCGCACATGCTTTATCAGTGATGGTTGCTGATTAACCATCTGGCGAATAAGGCTGCGAAGGACAGCTGTGGCGTTATTATATTGTGAGTTAGTGGCCTGGCAGAAGAAGAAGGACAGATTGTGTTTTTCGGAGTTTGACTTCTTCAATTCGTCGATAATACTGCAAAGTAGCATCGTTTTACCCTTGCCAGGGTCGCCCCTGACCCAGAGAAGCCGACTCTGCTGGTCACCACGCCATCGCAGGAACTCGGGATTCTTGAGAACCCAGATACATGAATCTTTTAGGAGGCCGCCTTTACTTTTTTGTATACCCTCCTTCTCATAATCAGGATTGTCTGGCCACAAGTCGTTCAGACACTGGCAATCAGTATCGAGAGGGTTGCCTTGTTCGAGACCTCTGTTCAGTACCCTATCTCGGCATCAATTGTCTGGTGTCAACTCACCGTGATAGTGTATAATATCCCCGATTTGAGCTCTGGCATCTCCGGTGATCTGTATATTTTTATAACTATGTCCCGCCATAATTTCAGTGTCTTTTTCCAGTCCTGACATGATGGACTGGTTTTCCATACAGAACGATCGCGAGATGGATGATGGAGCCTGCGGCGGGGTCACCTTAAAGAAGTTTTGGGCTCGAGAGTTTTGCCAAGACCGACGACCCCGCACCGGGCCTGTGGAGTTGGGCAATGCTCGTCTGAATACCACATCAACAATACCGCGCCCGTTTGGGAGTGTTTTTATTACTGTGTGTTTCTCTCAACGATTATTTTTCAGGAAAACATCAGACATGGCTGATCCATTGAGCATCACTGCTAGTGTTATTGCTATCGCCACCCTTGCATACTCTAGCAGTAAATCGCTTTATTAAACCATTTCTAATATCTATAATACTCTATAGAACCTTATTTACCTATGTAAAAACCGACGTTAAAATACTCTATGAAGCTATCGGGTCTTTATAGCGAGGGCTTAAGGAAGAATGCGCTAATATAATGCTCTCTAATACGCAAAAGTCGAATCTATACGAAATAAAGCCTACTCTAGAGGCATACTATATTCACTTGCGATATATTTAAGGAAGGCTTATGCATTACTCCTGTCATGCCACGCAGCATGCGCCCATCAAGCCCATATCACGTGGCACCCAAGCATATAAGCAGTGCAGCGACCAGAGATGATGAACGTCATCACTGTGTATGATCTTTGGTCGAATGGCATATGCTATATCATCACTGCTGGCATAAACGGCCATTACAATAATATAATATCACGTAGTTCGATCTGGTAATCCTGCCAACAAGTTTGAGTTTCCTCGCTACGAAGTTTGTAGAGACAAGCACTCTCATGAACCTATTGTATCCAGCAAAGTCTAAAGATAGATGGATGCCACGGTAACTATATACTCAGGATGGCATTATTCTTTCTTGTGTCTTTACTGGTTTGACTGATGCTGCCCTCTTCGAAGATTTCGTTGGGCAGCTACTCCAGCACTGTAGACGGTGGCCAGAATCAAAATCCGTCCTTGTTATGGAGAATGTATTATTCCATCACTCAGTTAGGATAAAGCAGATTCGCTTCGATGCTGGGGTGAAACTACTATATATATCGCCATATTCGCCTGATCTAAACCCTATAGAGGAATTCTTTGCTGGGCTGAAGGCTTATATCAGGAAGAACCGGTTACTGTATGAGGGGAGATCCTAGTTAGTGTTTCGGTGCCTTCTTTTAACGATGCGTTGGCGTCAAAGAAGAGAGTGCAGAAGGTTATTTTTCGAAGCGCTGGTGTATCAATTGAACTATGTGATTTTTGATAGAATCCATTCATTGTTTTTGTCCGATAAAGTAGCAGTATCATTATTAATACAACCTTAGAGTGCTTTGCAAAATTCCATGCTTCAACTCTTTAATTATTCTCGGTTTGATCACTAGGCTACAGACTATGTAATATGCTTCGTCACATTGCGCTTATGTACGGTAAACTGGCATAGGGACCACAGTTTGGCATCTTTTCATACAGTTTAATCATCCCAGAAATCTTTTCCTCCATACTTATTCCCTACCAGCACTTTCCCGTTCTCTCCAACCTCCACACCATCATAAATGTGTGATGCACCATTCGCATTTCCGTGCCAGTCTCCGTGGAACGCGTCGCCGGTATGAGCCTTTCCTTTCACCACGAAGTTCGAGTACTTATGACCCTTTTTGGTAGCGGTCTCGAGCAGAGGATCGACATCCCGAGCAGCAGTCTCAAGTAGCTTCAAAGAACTTTTATCATGGACTTGTGCTGCTTCTTCGTCGGCAATAAGTTGGAGTTGGGGCTCAGGGAAAATTTTTTCAAGGTTGCTGATAAGAGAGACGATATCTTCAATAAGCCTCTTAAACTCCGACCTATGGTAGAGAGCCCAGCTCGCCGTTTTCAGGACACTACTGCCCTTCTGTCGCCTAATGACTAACGCCCTCATATTGTCCGCGAGGGCCGTCACTGTAGGGTCAATATCACAAGGAGCGAATACAGAGAGGTCCTCTCTGTCCCGTGCCTTCATCTTGTGTTTCTCCGAAATCTTTTGCGTGTTTGAGAAGAGGACAAGAATCTGATAGAAAGTATCCTTCGCCACTTGTATTTCGGCAAGGCTTGCGTCCCGTTTCCCTAGGTTGGGGTCATCATAAATCTTCACTGCCTCCCCCCATCGTGACAGACGGAGTTTGGCGCAGTTGAGAGCAAGAAGATCTGTCTGGAAATCTCGTCCAAAGTTGCGACCAAACTGGACGTACTCAAAGCAGTCGATGCAGGCGGTGAAGGCGGCAGCAACACCGACAGTACCAGCGGCAATGCCAAAAGGCTCGGCCATGATATAAGACGCGAGAAGATAGATAAATGGCTGCACTCTTCTGTTTTCCGTTCGGTTAATCATTTACGAGGTTTGTAGATTTGTGATTGAGTTTTATATTGATAAAAGAGGGGTTATCGCCTAACTAGGATTCAGCTGTAAGAGCTGCCCCGCAGACTGCCTCGCGACGCCTGACAGGACCAAGCGTAGACATGACGATGTGCAACGCCGAACCCACGGGTATTTGGGTGGGCTGGGTTTGGGTCAAATCTGAGCACTTCTAAAAAGCCTTGAGTAAAAAATGGGTGGGTCCTAATTAAAATAAGTTTCGGATAACCCGTGAGGACTTCGCTAATTCTAAATATAGAAAAAGTCTAAAAAGTTTATTTTTTCCGCCTAATTCCTCGGATGCCCATTTCCCGGCGATACACGGTATCGGATGCCCCCACCTTGGCGCCGCTAATCTGATGGAGTACGTTGTTCCCTTTTTGAGTTATACAGCGGTTTTTGTACTATCATCCCAAGCCAATAATAAATATTCAATCATGCATATATCTTATTGGGCAACCGGCCGGTGGGTAGAAAGGCATGTCGTTCGGACTAAGATACCCACCACTACCAGCATCAAAAAATCGATTCGATTAACAAAGCATTGAATTAGCAGTTATATAGGCGTAAGAAGTAGTCCTATCTCACCTATATTCCTTCCTGCTCCCTCTATGGAGATAGCTAGTGGTTAACTAGTCCTCGTGCTCCCTTATATTATTCTAAAGCTGGTTATTAAGAGCTTTACGAAGCTCAATAATCTCTTTATCGGATTATTTATCTTCGGCCTTAATTAGGTACCCCTACCAATAAGATATATGCATGATTGAATATTTATCATAGGCTTGGGGATGATAGTATAAAAACCGCTGTATAACTCAAAAAGGGAACAACGTACTCTATCAGCGGCGCCAAGGTGGGGGCATCCGATACCGTGTATCGCCGGGAAATGGGCATCCGAGGAATTAGGCGGAGTAGGTTATCTTGATGTGCGGGAAATTCGACTTTTCGCACGAGTAAATCTACGTCCTCGGTTTCGACAGGCGATATCGAGAATACCATATTGTTGGTTGACAAAAGAATATGTTTAGGCGCACAATCCGCAAGTTGTTCTGGCTCCGTAAAACCTCTAGGCATGAAAAAGGAAGAGAGTAAGAGGTTTCCAGCATCCTGAACCAAAGCTGGAGGGACGTTGTAAATATATACATTGATAGGATACGATCACCGACAATATTGATAACCTTTGAAGCTCGCTCCTAATAACTAAAAAACAATATATCGAATCAACACAAGGATGCTCATTGCCCCTACATTCTGGAGGCCTTGGCGCCATACCTGGGGTGCGTTATTGATGGGGGATGGTGATGGCATCTCCGGACGGGCCTTGTTAACTACGGAGCGCGCGGTGACCCGAGAAGGTAATATGTCAAATATAACAAGTCTCTCTGCCGCCAATTAGTGCGGGCTCGCCTTTTTGGCCGAATGGCAGATTCTGACATAATAACTTGCAAGAAAAAAGAGAGAGACAGCGCCTTCGCTTCCAGGTGTTCGGTTCTTTTCAGGTGCAGCCGCCATTTTCCCAAAGGCTCTGTTCTAAAAGATCCTCGAGGTTGCCAAGTCGCACTCCTTGGAATGAACTCCATCTAGCTGGCTTTGCTGACTGAATTCCCAAAACAGGCCGTGGTCCGACAGAGAGGGGACGTACTAAATCCATGCTCACCGTTAACCGACTGAAGTCGTGAGGGTTCGCAATCGTGACGCCAGATTGTGGAACTACTTCAATGGGCGTCCCCTTGGGCAGCCTTCCTGGCCACCATTCATGTGCTAAAAGCGCCGCACTGAACTCGACCACGTATTGATCGCCCTGAACCTCAATAATTCGAGCAGGGAGATAGAGCTGCGCGTCGCTAATGTCATGGTAATGGAGTCGAAAGTCCGGGTACATGACCGGCGCATCAACAAAGTCACCCACATGCAGACAACGGTAAGGTCGGATGTTATAGCTGGTCATGTTCCTACGCCAGGGCCGCCACACACGCCGCGTGCCTTTTCCGAGTGTTGTCAACTGCTCTGAAGAAAACAGCAGGCGAAAGCCGTCCTCTTCATCGTTAGCTCTGCCGTCCTGGCTAACGGCACTACCAGGGTCGCTTATTATTGGTGCCTCATACCAATCGACAAACTCGACCTCATCTTCCTCGACTACCGTGACTCTTGAATCATGCCAGTAACCATCATATTCAATCTGCTGAAATGTAAGTATCAAGCTTCAGTTGCACCGCAAGGAATACAGGAATAAGAAAAATGTAAAACGCATACGTACTTGAATTTTCTCGCCTATGCAAGGGGCTGTGGAAAAGGTCCTTGACGGCCCCAGCAGCAGGTATTCAAGCTCTGGAAGAGAAGAAGTTGCATTTTGAACCTCTTCCCGTAGCATGTTGTCAAACGAATGTTTTATTGGAGTTGTGGAGAACAGTGTAGCATTTGCGCCAACGCCTGCAGCAATAGTATACCTGCCCCCGTAACAGGCCTTGAATTCCGTGACATGTTGGTCAGGTCCCCAGGCGTGCGCACCCGATTCCATCTCGTGCCGCGTCGACAAGGTTGCTCCGACAGCAATGCCCCCAATCGGACGGATTTGTCTCAAGAGACTTTTGCGCTCTATTTGACCAGTTTGGAGATAGCGAACGTAGACATAAATATCCTGCATGGCACCGCTGAAGCAAGAAAAGAGGTTTTCATTGCTTGACTCCATAACCTCTTTCTCCGTGGCAATTCCAAGCTCTTCAGGCGTCGAGACGGTAACGACCTGTGCAGATAACCAGCCTACGTGACCAGCGGGGGACTCGATAGACGCAGGAAGGGCAATATCGCTGGGGTCTCGCTCACATTCCACTAACATCCCGTAGCCGGCATTTTCCAAAGCTAAGGCTCGAATCTTCTCGGACAAGGAAGAGGTTTCAAGAAAGCTGAAATAGTTTTGGGGTTTCACGTATCCTCTGTGAAGAGGATCAAGCGCCGATTGAAGGGCAGGAAGCCAGAGAGCGCGTGTCGTGGCAAGTCGGCGCGTGCCATTTGGGTTAATGGAATAGCGACTCCCTTTCCGACGAATAACGTCTATGTTTCCAGTTTCATATACTGCCGTCGGCATGGTGTTCAGGACAAAGGACTGCTCCACCTCGTGAATGAAGCGTGCCCAAGAGACGTACAGCACCTACAAATGAGATTAAGTTTTGATTAAATCTGCAGAAGAATTTCTATAGTATATGCTCACCTCGTAACGAAAAGCAGAAAGACTTAGTTCTCTTTTCTGGAACCGATCCTTCCAAAACGCCATTCCCTCCGGGTTGTCCTTTTCGTAGTGCTCGATGGCCGACCTGTCAGGATATATCATGGTATCTTGAAGCTGCTGCCGAAGGCTTTGGCACTCCTGCATGAGACTTCCCAGCAACAGATCAATGCTTGCAAAATTTGTTGTAAAGTCTCGGTTGAGCAAGTCTTCTGGCCTGATGTCCCGTCCCACACGGTCTCCGGACCCCGCGACCTCCCTCCCTGTGGCCTCGCTCTGTCGAGTCTTCACATCTTGCAGGATCATAACAGAAACTGCGCTGTAAACTCTTTGGAGATGCTCCGCCTTGCGCTGGATGTCTGCGAGCAAGCTAGGAATCTTGTTGAGGGCCCATATCCGCCGGATAAGTTTCCTTCCAAATATTTCTTTATTCGCACCGACATCCCTTTCCACAGAGGGTTCAATATCCAGCGCCGTGGCACATTTTGCGCAACAATCTGCAATGCTTTGCAGGACGTCCAACATGGCGACAAACTCGGAGACATGTGCCCTGATGATGTCTTCATTGGCGGGGTTTTCGAATACCGTCATCAAAAGCTGGAGGTTGACAATAAGTAACTGGAGATCCTCAGCAGCCTGGTTAAGCGAGTTGAGTCGCTTTTTAATTTCCTGGCCCAGCGTGATAAGGACATTAAGCGTGGTGTGGATGTCGGACACGGACATGATGCCGCAACAGAAGTACGTCCTGGTATCAAACCGCACTATCGGGATATTTTTTGGCACAATCCATACAAATAAAGGGTACGGAGTAAACACAACGTAATTATCAATTGTGGCGGCACGGGAACGCGGGAAAAGCGCGGGTAATACCCTTAATCATAAATAAGCTTAACACCCGGACCCCCCCATACAACCGCTAGTTAGAGGCAAAGGTGCTTATATAATTAACGATGTGCCCCGCGCCTTAACCAGCCCTAACCAGCCTTACCTATGTACCTTGAAAAAATCGTCCGTTCTGGAACTTGCCAGCTACTTTTTGTTTTATGTTCGTTTTTTCTCCTTTTTTAAATATACCCGCTTTGATCTGGTATTATATATTGTAAATCTATGGAGGCCTGGCTGAAGGATTCGGGGGCCAGAGGTGTAGATGGCATAGAGGTTGCCAACTTCGCCGTCACCGGGAGCGGCGTCAAGGCACTGCGCAGCTTCAAAGAAGGAGAACGCATCCTCACCATCCCATCTGCCTGCCTGTGGACGGTAGAGAAAGCATACGCCGATCCGCTGCTTGGCCCGGTTCTTCGCTCTGCGCAGCCACCCTTGTCGGTCGAAGATGCTTTGGCTGTCTATCTGCTCTTTGTCAGGTCGCGGACATCAGGCTATGAGGGCCAGCGACACCACATCGCTGCGATGCCGCAGAGTTACTCGGCGAGCATCTTCTTCACAGAGGACGAGCTGCAGGTCTGCGCGGGATCCTCACTCTACGCACTCACGCGGCAGCTAGAACAGCGTGTGCGTGATGACTACAGGCAGCTGCTCGTGCCCTTGCTGAGCCAGCATCGCGATCTCTTCCCGCTAGACCAATTCACGATAGAAGATGTACGTTACATTGCCTCTTGCTGCACTTTACCCGCTCCATGTCGCTGACCGAGCTTGCTTTTGCCTTTCTTAGTACAAGTGGGCTCTTTGTTCGATATGGAGTCGTGCAATGGATTTTGCAGTCTCAGGGACGACTTCAGTTCGGCTCGTGGCACCTTTGGCAGACATGCTTAACCATTCTCCGGACGTGAAGCAGTGCCATGCCTACGATCCAACGTCCGGGGACCTCTCCATCCTTGCTGCGAAGGACTACCAAGTCGGGGATCAAGTTCGCCCACCACTCTGCTAACCTCTGCCAATCTCTGTTCTGTCGAAGGGCAAAAGCTAACATGACGTCATGACAGGTATTCATTTACTACGGCAGCGTGCCGAACAATCGGCTTTTGCGTCTCTACGGCTTTGTCCTGCCAGACAACCCTAACGACAGTTACGACCTCGTACTCCAGACGAGCCCGCTGGCCCCCCTCTACGAGCAGAAGGAAAGGCTCTGGGCGCTGGCAGGGCTCGACTCAACCTGCACCATCCCCCTCACCGTGAAAGATCCGCTTCCGAATAACGTGCTTCGTTACCTCCGGATCCAGCGACTGGACGAATCCAACATCACAGACATTACGCTGCAGCTGGTGAACGGCACAGACGGCAAGGTTAGTGACGGAAACGAGATGCAGGTGCTGCAGTTCTTAGTCGATTCGATCGGCAGCCTCCTAGAAGGCTTCGGTATCCCGCTGGAGAAGCTCGAGGCACAGCTCGCGGCGGGAGACTACCCCGCGGGAGGCAACGCTTGGGCAGCAGCACACGTTAGCGCGGGCGAGCAGCGCGTCCTAACACGGGCCAAAAGGACGGCAGAAGATCTGCTGGAGGCCGTTCTTCGTCCGCCGGCGACGCAGTGCGCCAATTGCAGAAACGAGTCTGGCGCGTTGATGTCGTGCGGCAGATGCAAGACCGTCAAGTACTGTAATAGGGAGTGTCAGGTGGCGCACTTTAAAGACCACAAGGCTGCCTGCCGGTCTCTTGCGGCATCGAAATGAGAACTCCCCCAAATGATGTATAGATAAGATGTAGTAATAGCTCTATATACATACTATGTAGTATGTTACCTGTGGCTGTTAGATGCACTCCTGAATTTAAGATTTTGGGACTAAGACGAAAAAGAAAATTTGCATGTCCCTTGTTATAACTAGTGGTGTAAGATGTAAAGCACAAAAGCTTCTCTAAATGGCCCTTTACTGGATATAAAATATTTGAGCTTGGGCTTTCAGTACCATCATATGTGAATTTTAGTATTTTGAGCTGTTCTCATTGATGCGTGAGACAATGGCCTCTAGTCAATGGCAAGTATGATACACAGGGTCTTCCAACGAGTGTATGCTTTGCAACTAACTGAAATAGTCTACCATCACCCAAGCTACCCTTGCCAACGAAAATTGGAATGGCCGCCTCTAGACATTATCGACAATATACGACACAATCTCATACAACCCAGAGGATTGATCCAACTTATCTCCGGCGAGCTCAATCTCGCGCGGCAGTCCACCTCTGACGTAAAGACCGTCCATAGTCTCACCATCTAAGGAGTCTTGATCAGAAATGGTGGCACCATCGGACAGCCCATCGTTATCCTCGTGACTGTCCGTGTGTCTATCCGTGTGTTTATGGTGCACATGATGTGTGTGAGACTTAGTTGGCTGTTGCCTGGCCACCCCCGAGTCTCCGACAACCTCGAATCCCTCGGAATTCATGGGCCAATCTCGAATGAACTCAGTCATGGTATCGAAGCTGTCCTTACTGTACGGCAGTGGAACTTCGTACGGCACGTCGATGCAAGTCCGTTTCGCCGGGTACTCAAGTTCGTGGGTCGAGACATTGTCCATTGCATGCCTCAAAACTCTTGTATAAAAGCTTCTTGCCCTGAGAGATCTGGTCCTGGCGCTTCCATGTACTCGTATGCGGAAAGATTGCCCTGGTCATCTACAAAGTAGTGGTACCCGTAGAGAGATCGGTGCTGGAAGGCGGGGAGAGGCCGCATGATGGTGATGCTTCCATGATTGGGGGTATGGATGTCCTGCGCAGCAAAGACCTCGCCCTCTTTGAGGCGAAAGTGTATATGGACTAGCTTGATACGCACTCGGTCAGACAGATTATACTTGTTAAGCAAGTTCTTGAGATCTGCTATGTCGACTGAGTTGGCATACGGAACGTCGAAGACATTGCGGATGTTTGGGAGCGTATTATATATAACCGCCGGTAGGATATCATTCTTGAGCACTGCCATATTGTTTGAGAAGTGTCTGTAAGATGAAGAAGATGATTGTGCAGCCAAAAAACAGACGACAACAACGCGAAGCACACTTGCTTATTTATAGTCGAGTGATACACATGCACCCTAGAGGCCTGCTACGTCGCATTCACTCCTAACCCGAGTCTTTCCGTGAAGACAGGTCGGAAGCTTGACTTGCAGTATTACATTGAGCGGGGTAATGCATATGTATACAATAACAGCGATGAGCAGCAGTTGATTGGACTTACAGAGCAGGGTAAAGATGGTTTGCGTAGCAGTGACCATTCGATGCATCACGACAGAAGGCCAATGGTGCTGATTTCTTTGTATGAATCTAATAAATGGCCACCTCGTTGCCGCACAACCTGATACATACACATGCATATATATCCTCTGAACCTTGCTTGACGCTGGCATACTATGTATTGCATTTCGATGTGGTTGGCTTTGGGCTGTGACAACACATACATACATACACACAACAAAACAACAACGAAGAGGACCAAGAGGTGATAGAGAAAGTCAGGGACTATAATGAAAGCTGTTTACTGTACGATCAGCATGTTAATGTGTCGTAAATCATAGAATTAAATTCTTAGGAAAATGAATAAATGGAGAGGGATTGTTGTTCTGATGCTAGCTTCGAACTCCCACTATGCGGGTCTTCCCGTGTTTCGGAAGAAGGGGAGTCGGCCTGATACGGCGGACTATATGTGCCATGCTCTCAAAATTCGTTTTTAACTTGTAAGGCATAATGCCACGTAGCCAATTATAATAAAGGTATTTTAAATAGTACTATTTTATATAGATAATACTTTACATCCCTTATCTAAGTACCTCTTATCTTAAGAATACTACCTTCTCTCCCCTTTGGCCCACAGCCTAACTTCTCTCTCTAGGCTAGGCCTCTCTCCCTAGGCCTCTCCTATATAAGACTCTTCTACCTAAGACTCCTCCTACCTCTACCTACTATAGAGTAGTAAGAAGTAAAAGAGGAGTAATAAGAGCCTTATATAAAAGAGGCCCAGAGAGAGAGGCCTAGCCTAGAGAGAGAAGTCAGGCTGTAGGCCAAAGGGGAGAGAAGGAGGTATTTTTAAGATAAGAGGGATACTTACGTAAGATAAATAAAATATAGAGAGAGTAGCTTAGTAATAGAAACCCTAATTATTAACCAATAATATAGACTCTTTTTACTTAGTAATATAATTATATAATAAGAATACTACCTTACTGCGTGCCTTTATATAAGTTTGTTACAAAACGAATTTTGAGAGCATGGCACATATAGTCCGCCGTACCTGATTCGTTGGCAAAGTGTCCACAGTTTACCCCTGGTTCGACGCCGAGACATCAAACCCCGGAGCTCAAGTGCACTGGCTTTTAGAACGCTCAATGAATGCCCGAGGGGTATAAAACGGAAATTTATCTACCATATCTCCTTTCAAGAACAGCAGGGTATGCAAACACATGCGGTAGGAAAGAGAGCATGGAGGCACAGCGTTCTCTTATAGCGGCTAATATTCTTACCTCCTGTACGGAGTACAGTATTGGTGCCCAAGCCAATATATATATATATATATATATATATAGATCCCCGTATGCACTGGCGCTCGTCCGATGCTGATATCCAACTTTTGGCAGCCAGTGGGCCTCTGCAACGGCGATCGCGGGTATTGTGTACATGGTACGACATTGGCTTGGGCCCAACCCCTGCAAGACCAACCGTGCGTGATCATGAGCTTCGGAAACGACAGGTTCTCACACAGAATCCTTACAAGACAGGCCACGGCCTGCGCAACTACAGCTGATGCAGCTCGCGCTGAAGAAATGTTGCCGAAATTATCCGTGGGCGTAGATAATGTATTGATTGCTGGTTGTACCCCCCTACAGTAAATGCCAATATTCAATGCAGAAAGGAATTATCTCCGTATCAACGCGGTTTAAGCCGGAAGGCTCTGGGGCAGCGAATGATCGATATTTCTCGCGATATGCAAATTCCTATCCAAACTATCATTGACACTATCCAGAACTCATCTAAACGGAGTGATGGAAAAGGCCTCCCTCGCGCTGGCAGGCCTAAGAAGATAACAGATGCCAATGGTCGATATATTCTACTCTGTATTAAGCGGAATCCTTTTGTTACTGTCCGTCAGAACATGCCTGGGCCAGGCTCAGAGAGACTCTCTACAAGATGGAACCGGATATAGAGAACTTTGAAAGCTCAAAGCGAACTTAAGTGGAAATTTACAGACCTAATAGAGAAGGCATGGGAGAGTTTGGGTCAAGATTACTTTGATGGGCATGGACGATCGAATTAATGCTCTACTCGAGGCAAAAGGGTGCGCCATTAAATACGGGATATATATAGAGATTGTAATTTAGCAACTAAATAAGATGTTACAGCAATCCTCATCCGTTTATCTTAATAATTGGTGGAATGGTTAATAAATTCAATTTCCTAGTATTTTTGGTGGGTGGATCTACGAAATATCCGGAGACTTACATATGTCCTAGAACTGTAGATGGTGGCTTAATACTTCACCCATTGGCCGGCGGACTTGCACAGCTCTTAAAATACAAGGTGTGTACCCGTAATGTACACCCGGACTTACATTACTCCAGTTTCTATATAAGCAGCGCACTCACCTTAAGCTAGGCTCCTCAAGTTCGTCCACCGCAACGCTTTCAAAATCAAGAACACTTTGACTGCAAGGTTCCACTTCCACTGATGGTGTGCCAGGGTCCCCTCGTTGGCGCTTCAGCGAATTACCATTGTCTGGAGAGACTCATTTCAACGCTTCAAGGTTCGGTATATCGCAATGTTTCAGGCTACGATGCAAAGTATTTTCCGGCTCAGAGCATCTCTGCTTCAGAGGCGCAACCACAGAACTCCATCCCTCTACAGTCACCGTCGGAGCTATTGAAATGGCTGGACGACTTGCCATGTCGACGACTCGGAGCCACTCACAACAGCTTCGTTCTTCATAGCATTAAACGAAAGCCTAGAGATATTTCTGGAACAGATATATGTCTTGTCAGAACTTCTGCCTCGAAACCCCAGGTGCTTTGTCCTGATGCTGCCGTTCTCGTGCTAGGTCTGTTCCAGACGGGTACTGAATTTTCGCCGGGTGATGAAGCGGTCTTGGGGTTCTGCGACCTCGCTATGAGTGTCTTTGCGGCTCGCCCCGATCGTCGATTCCTGCATGCATTTCGTATCTACAATTCTACAATGGAGACGTGGACGTTTGACAGGGCCGGAGCTTACAGCGGCGAATCATTTAACATTGTGGAAGAACCCAATCGGTTCAGAAATATCGTTGCTGGGTACATGTCCATGGATGATGATCGACTGGGCTTGAACTCGTTTTTACAGCAAGACGATCAAGGGGCATTCCTTGAGCTCAAGGAACAGAATCAGCCTTCGGTCAGAAGACTGTATCTCGACGAGGACGCATTTGTGAGGCAGGACTACCTTGTGGGACCTGGTACGACCTGCTTCAAAGCACGCATCCCGGCCTTGCGAGACCAAGAGATGGTGGTCAAATTTGCCTGGAACCGGAACGAGGGCTCTGCTGAACGGAGGCTCCTACAATTCGCGAACGAGAAGAATGTTTGGGGTATTCTCAAACTTGAAGGCTACCAGGACCTGGGCGATATTGCATGTCTTCGACAAGGACTGCAGTTCGGCCAGCCATACGAGTTCTCGCTTCCTCATCTGGAGACTAACGAGTCGGATAATTTTCAAAATTTACCAGAATCAACGCCGAAATCACCGCTGCTGAGACAAGTCTCTAGCGGCATCGTCGAACACGAGAAAGAATCCCAGTTCGACAATCTCAAATTTGAGTGTATCGTCACTTCTCCACTTGGGCGACCGCTAAGTACTTTCTCCTCACCATCAGAGCTCATGACGGTTCTCCGCGATATTACCAAAGCACTTCGTTCTCTATACGTCAAAGCGAATATTCTTCACCGTGACGTCAGCCCGCAAAATATCATTATTGCTCCCAACAATAATCAAGACCCCGGTGCCCCCATCGGAATGCTCATCGACCTAGATCTAGCGCTCGATCTCTCAAATCTACCGAGTGAACGACGGCTCGTAGGCTCAGAGGGATTCATGGCTATTGGTATACTCGGTGGTGATGACCACACATACCGTCATGACCTCGAGTCTGTGTTCTATGTCTTCTTGTGGATGGCCATCTGCCGTAATGGAGTTACCCCCGACAACATCCCGAATACAAGTCGTCTTCACCTGTGGTGCGGCACAGACTTTTTGGCGTCCTTTCATAGCAAGAGGAAGGACATGCAGCTAACGGAGTTCTCGAAACTAGCAGAGGAGGAGTTTACAGAACGTTTCAAACCATACTTGCCTTTGGCAATGACTATTCATCAGTTGCTGTTTCCTGTCAGGAACGGGAAGATCTTTATAGGCACTGATCATGAACCGGGTTCTATAGAGCAACTGTATGCAGGAATGATAGCCGGGTTCGAGCGCTACATAAGTTGATAGCTAGATTCATACGAATGTTGAGATGGCCAGACAGGACCAAATACCATAGAATATAGTACAGCAATACCTCACATCCACCATTGCGCTCGTTGGTAAAGTGCTCCAGTATCCTGCTATAAGCGATATCCCCAACTCTTATGGTTGCATTCGTGGTTTTCTCGGAGCTCCTGAATTGTCCTTGTAACTAAGGTATCCCTTGCTGTCTGTGTCTGTGGGCTATCTCTTTCTAGTACGGGGATGGGAGGTTCTACCGTTGTTTGAGTCCCTCTACCTGGCTGTAACTTATGCGTTTCTGACCGAGGCTCATCATTTTCTGACTGAGACTTATTAAATTCCGAGGGAGGAGTGGTGGCGACGTGTAAATTTAATTCTTGATCGATTAACTGATAAGCTCGATAATATCTCTCATTCTTAATACCCTTAACCGCTACCGTGTAAGCGAGTCCAAGATTGCCAGTGATGAGTTCCCCCTTCCCAAGTCTAGGGATGCTACAAGCTTTCTGGGACCTTTGTATGAGTAAGGTTCTTGAAGTAGTACACTGGTCAGGGTATCGGTATGATATAAGGCTTGATGGATATCAGATAGACAAAGGGAAGTGTGCTTGTATTGATCAGTGTGGTAAAGCTATGACTTGTTATAAAGCTGGCTTTGATCGCGAGTATCAAAAGAACTCTTGATCAAGTGGGCGATGAGTGCCCTTATATATATGAGATATATTAGGTCCCCCATCCTGTCATTATGCTTAGGTCCCATCATGGACCCGGCTGCTGAGGTAGAGACTTATATTCTCCTCACTTTATCGATAGATATTTCACCGGTGACAAGTACAATGTGGAGCTTAGCAAGAATAAACTCTAGCATGCTAAGGGATGTGTAACAAGAAGTTACCCAAATATCTTGATAGGCTTCTGACTCCATTGGGAAGATCCTAACTTCGGGGTTGGATTGGGCGTGATATGTATTTTTTTGACCCGGCATATAATATTGTCAGAATCTGCCATTCGGCCAAAAAGGCGAGCCCGCACTAATTGGCGGCAGAGAGATTTGTTATATTTGACAGATAACTGTAGGTCGTGCGCGTGCTTTTCCAAAGCTAATCTCCAATACATAGTATGATTGATAGCTCAGTTGTGTCTTCAACAGCCAGCCAATCAACCCCCAATCATCAAATCGTTTTGTAACGACTCGCCCTGAGCGCTCCGTAACCGACATCACGGTATTTGTACTGTTAGGCCGCATATATAGTTGCTGTGATAAAGTTTCTACTCAAAAGCTCGTTCGGCTCCGGCCGTAAAAGTGGCCACAGGCGCATGCGAGCCTTAGCACCAGATCCTATTCTATGCCCTTGACATCATCCACTCGATCAAATAGTGTGTATGCAGATATGAGTCACAACCAAGAGTCAAACGCCTGCATTACCATGGCGCACGGATCGTTGGACCAGGACAAGGCTCCTCAATGGCAGGGATGATATTAAATACATGCACCTTTGCTGAAGTGCCTTCTTCTGGGCTTAACATGCCCAAAGCACAGAGTGATGATATATAAGAACGAGCTCCTGAGTCCTCGCCTTCTCTGAACCGAGAGGATGCTAGAGCTTTCGGTCCATTTAAAAGTACATATATCGTGACTCCCCCAAGTGCAACGCCGCTAAAAAATCAACTAGGTCTCTTCTTCGTATATTATCAGGCTTACCTCCTCCTGTGTTGGTGCTTCTAGCGCTGAACTATCGTAAGCTCATCCGCCCACCCTCTTCTTTGGTATAATAATCAATACTAAACTTGTTTCCTAAGAAAATGTGTTATGTCGACCGCTCGACTGTCATAATGGTATGCGGGCATCCTGGGCCAGAAAGCCCTCTCGCCACTCGCCCCTGCAACAAAACCCCGTGTGAGACAGGAGGCACACCAAGAGATGTCTGGTTAGGATCCACTCGAAAACATGAGCCTTGTGAGGATTGCAAAGCCAACGGAGTCTTCGTCCTAAAAGCCGGTACAAGGAATACTTGGGTTCGAGCATGAAGCAAAGGCTAAGCTGATAAGGTCAGAGATAAAAGAAACTAGCGTTAAAGTGAAATTACTTTGTTCCAGTTCCTGCCAATGGCCGTTAACCGGTTCCTGGCCTTGAATTGAGACCTTTGGTGCTTCATTAACTATCACCTAACACGTTATCGCCCCTTCCGGCAATTCCTGTCTCGAGGCTCATTACGGCTCGTTCATTTCCATGTAGCCAGCAGACATCACTAAATACAGGCCCTTATGGTCGGCAGACTATCTGCTCATCATCATCTATCATTTTGCCGGCTAATAGGCTTGTTTTGTGTGTTTCGTAGGGCCTTACAGTATTCAGTTGCTGTTCCTCCATGCTAGGGCCCGATCTCGGAGGCTGAAGGGGGGAACACGTGACCGCAACCTCTGCAAGACACAACGGAACAGCAAAACAATGCCTCAGCAACCAAATGAGCACAGGAAAAGGTGATAAATAGGCGTAGGAAAAAATAATAATGATGGACGGAAGGTCTAGAGGCTATACTACGGCTATTTATCTATAGAGAACAAAGGGCCGTCGGCCGACTAGTAGACAGGAGTACGTAAGCATCTAGTTCCATTAGTAAGCCGGCGGCGCGTTATTTAAAATGCGGCAACCGCTGTCTCTAAACGATGATACATTTAGCATAAACCATCCTAGTTACGTTCCATGGGTGATAATGGCGGTGAATAGAAATGGGCTCAACTTTTCATACGAAACATTTTGCGATTATCTCCCCAGAATAACTGGTGGTTCCGAGTCGCCGACAAATGCGGATAATGTCAACCCCTTGATTCGACGGATTCTGACAAGCTACCCCAAATCTACTATCTACGGGGTAGGAGGGCACTCCGCTCTGCTCTCAATCACCGATGATATTGGCATTAAAATCTCCTATAGACCTGCTGGGAAGCATATACATCATGAACAAACTATCTTTATGCTACTGGAATCCGTGCCATGTCCGTTTATAGCCCACTCGCTCTTCTGCGCCCCGGACCTTATCTTCATGGAACTCTACAAGAATGGCACACTTCACGAGCGTCTAAACTTGAATAGAAAGCCCCGCCCTATACTTCAATGGATGCAGCAACTGTCAGAGGCTGTGGCTTGTCTGGAGTCACTAGGCTATGCACATGGCGATATTAATCCCCGGAATATTATGTTTGTCGAAGGAGATAACCTTAGGCTTGTCGATTTTGACCATGCACTGCGATTTGGCGAAAACATAGAAGTTGGCGACTATCCCTACGTTCGGCCAAGAAATGCAGAAGAAGCAAAGTCAGACTCTGGCGGCACTTTTGGCATAGCTAGTGCTGATACCGAACAATTTGCCCTGGGGTCTATTTTTTGGTACATGGTGCAAGGGACAGAACTTTGGGCGGGAATATATGGACTGGATCTGGTTGATAAGCTTACGGATCGTGTATGCCCAGAGATGGACCTCAAGGACCCAATCAACCAGATTATGAGCGATTGCTGGAAGGGGAAGTTTATATCTATAGCGGCACTCGCAGCCCGGATACGCCAACTCACTCTCGAGAAAGAACTTGAGCAGAAGAAAAAGGTGTGCGAGGGATACTATACCCTAATATGCAATACCGCGAGTGACTCTAACGCTAGAACGCCAGAGACGGCAAACTCTGGGAACTATTAGAGTCCTCCACTTTGCCAGAGACAACTATTCTTTATCCTCAGCAATGCGCGGCGGATTTATATTAAACAAATCTTAACTTATAGATACCTACATAATAAAAGAAATATCTCTGATTTGCTTCCAGAAACAATCAGCTTGCCCTTATTTCCTGCACCTAAGTGGCCACAAAGCTCAAGTATAGATTGAATAAAGTCACTGTGCGATACCCGGAAGATGGTTTGAACGTGCTGAGGCCGTGGGTTATATGGACCTAAGTCTAAACCCATAGTTACGTAATAAGTACACAATATAAGATACTGAAGTTATTAGAAAGGAATATACATACTACGGATTAAAGAGTATAAACACCAATTTCAACATCAAAGCGTATAAGCAGTGCAGCGACCAGAGACGAACGTCATCACTGTATGATCTTTTGGTCGAGTGGTATATGCTGTATCATCGCTGCCAGCATGCTGCTATTACACCTACTTGGCACGGCGGCAGGTCGGCCCGCCCCCTGCTGGACCTCAACTATATATAGTACACCGCAGGGCCTCCAACTTTGATTCCTCTTTAATCAAACAATGCCGTTAATCTACCAGGCTGGGGCCGCATAAATTTTAAAATCGGCCAGGGTCCAAGCCTTGCGCAGGGAGGATTATGGTGTGGCCCATCCACTATTTCCCTGCAGTGGGTGACGCTGCCAACCTGTTGGTTGCAGGGAAGATGGTGTGTTACTGGCAGTTGGGGCTGCCCTTGACAGATTTAGCAACATGGACGTTCTATATACCGCTCAACAAGAGGGCCCCGGAGACATATCTTGATTTTAGATATCGCTTATCCCTAATTGACAAACTTGCGCTATCTCGGTCGATTTCGACACACGCAACTCATCATGCTCTCTGAGAATTTATCAAGAGCATTCTCCCAAACGGGGGTAATAGATACCGCCATATTCCGCAACCCGTTTGTCGGTAGCTTCATAGCTGTCGTCTTCTTGCTATTCACATGGCGGACCATTAAATTTACGTTGGTACCCATATTCAGACCGAATGAGCCAAAAGAATACCCTTATTGGATTCCTGGTAACCCGCCCTGCACCCTGTCTTACCATCTTCTTCTTAGAGCCACAGACTGAAGCTCATCCAGGTATTGGCCATATCAGAGGGTTTGTGGCCAACTCCCAGGAATTACTTACTCGCGCAAGGTACATCACCAATATTCTCATTTATCTTATCTGTCAAATTCTAACGGAACAGGCAATACTTTGGAGATACACGCGAGCCCTTTGCAATAACCATAGCGAATCAATTGTTCTATATCATCACTAACTCTAACGATGTGTCTTCTGTGTTTCGAAATTCGACCTCCTTAACCTTTGAAATATTTGCTCAGGAGATCTTGCACGACCTTGGTTGCTCTGAGTCGTCGATTAAGCAGATGTACGGTGATCCGGATCCGACTGAAGCAGGCAGCCAGAAGCCTCATACCAAATCTCCAAGTCGAATGGCTCGCGATTTCCACCACCACCAACTCTTCCCTGGAGGTCTTCTGGATACTATCAACATAAAATTCATTCAGTATTTCAAAGGGAGCCTTGATCTTGAATATCTCACTTCGCAGCCAAAATATGCCACTCGAATCGCCTCAGATGCAGTCCAGGTTTCTTTGTTTGAGATGTCATCCGATCTTTTTACCAACGCTGCACAGGACGTTTACTTCGGCAAACTTCTCCGCAAGATTGCACCTAACCTGGCATATGACCTCCTAGAATACGATGATCTTGCCTGGCAGGTACTGTTCCGCTATCCGCGATTCCTGAGCACAAAGATGGTATCGGCACGAAATAGAGTCTTTGATGGTCTGGAGAAGTATTTTGCCTCTCCTACCGATGAGCGACAGGACACCGTTTGGTTCACACCAACTTTAGAGAAGGAAATGCGCAATGCGGGCCTCAATAACAGAGATATTGCTATTATGATGATGACCATTTATTGGGGGTAAGCAGTATCTTACGGTTCTCATATGTCGGTCATGTAACTTGCTAATTCATATCGCCCAGACTAAGTACAAACACCCGAAAGAGTGTTTTCTGGGTTCTTGCGTACATTATCTTTGACGCGGAACTTATAGCGACCATTCGTCGTGAGGTTTCTGCCGCGTTTGAGGGTGAAAAGATAGACGTGGATCACATTACAGAGAATTGCCCCCGCTTACGAGGTGTCTGGGACGAGACTCTTCGCACCACTGCATTTTCATCTTCAGTTCGCTATGTAGCGGAAGACACTGTTATTGGCAACAAGATACTGCGAAAGGGTCATCGTATTATGATGCCTTACAGGCAGCTCCACTTAGATGAATCCATATTTGGGGAGCGCGTGGCGGAGTTCGATAGTGAGCGATTCGTCAAGGATACCCAACTACGCAGATATAATATGGGGTTTGGAGGGGGCGCAACACAATGCCCAGGCCGTCACCTTGCGAGACAGGTGGTCATGGTATTTGCCGCAATGCTGGTTTATCAATTCGATGTAGCTCTTGATCCACCCGACCAGGAATTTCCCAAGGCCGAGGAGAAGATTCCCGTGCTTGGAATAATTGGTATCAAGACCGACCTCAGTCTCAGCTTGACCAAAAGAGACTCTTCTAAAGTATAATAGAATGCCGTTACGACGAGAGATAAAGTTACTTTCTCAAGGCCAGAGCCTCAAGCGTTGCCCTCTACCGTTCCCTACAAATATGAGCAAAACTTTGGTGCTTGGAAGCTGTACCTACGTTGTTTAAGACGGCTTTCATAGTAGATTTTCCCACGGAAATACATCAGCTCGGCATCCTAAACCTTGGCTATTTCCAACATATAGTCCAGGGATTACAACTTACTTCCACCCAGCAATCAGCTCGGCCCGAGCCCAGGCTGTGCTCTCAGCTACAGGGTTACTTGGCGACCTCACACCATGCACGTATGCGGCGTCCGGTACCACTGTGGTGCAGGTACTGTGGACTGATACTTGTCCAGCCTTGTTGCCAATTACGTTCTTTATTATACTCCTAGCCTGCCTTTGAGGGAGAGCTGAAGTTACGGAAAATTTGACCCTGCAAACATTTGGTTCGTGATCTTTCATATTGCATTAGATGATCTCCAAAATGGCGGCCCTATACATACTCAGACAAGCCTATATCGTTCTAGCAATCCTATGCATGCCCCTGACTCTAGCGAGTACCGGGAGACAACTTTGCGTACGTATAAGTTTGCGCTGGCTCCTTTTCCCTACGGGCCTATAGACAGCCTGAATAGCATCAACTGAACTCTTTAGTGTACGGCTATTCAGCATGTGCTCCCAGATAGGGTCTTCTATAGTCATAGTTCCGCATACAACGCCTCGCTCTCCTCCTACTGGGCAGCCCAGGAAACCGAAACAAGGCCTCTCTGTGTCGTGGCCGCCGAATCCCATCAGCATGTTCAGGCAGCTGTTTCTATACTTGCGGGCCTCAACACAGGGCCTCAAATCCTCTGCCCCTTTGCGGTTCTCGCTGGTGGCCATGGAAAGTCCGGAAATTCAAATCAGCAAGGTGGTGTCAATATCGACCTGAGAGCCATGAAATCAGTTACTGTGAGCGAAGATCACAAGTTGGTTAGTATTGGACCCGGGGCAAAATGGGTGGATGTTTATCGTGAACTGGACCCTTTAAATAGGACAGCTCCAGGCGGCCGAGATGGTACCGTTGGCGTTGGGGGTTTATCTCTCGCAGGTGAGCTGCCCACTCCTGCACTGCTTCTCAGCCCAAGTGACTCTAATAATTGACCCAAATAGGGGGTGTGTCCTATTCTTCTCCGGAAGTAGGCTTCTCCTGCGACAACGTCGAAAATTTCCAGATTGTGCTATCCAGCGGCGAGATAGTAAATGCAAACCGGACATCACATCCAGATCTATTTCTCGCACTTCGTGGTGGTGGGAATAATTTTGGAATCGTCACCCGGATTGATATGAAGACCTTGTATCTGGGGGATATGTGGGGTGGGACCGCCTACTATAACATTAGCACATACCCGGAGCAGATTCGAGCTTTCCATGCATTCAATGCGGATCCAGAGTACGATGAACACTCTAACATGTACCAGGCGTTCGGCTTCAGCGGAAATACCACAGTAGTCCTCAATAACTTGGTGTATTCCATACCAACGCCAGAATTACCGCCAAAACTCAGGGCCTTTGCGGATATCAAGCCTGTTCTATACAACACACTGCGGGTTTCGAATATATCTGCCTTTGCAACTGAGCAGGCTGTAGCAGCCCCTGCTGGAAACCGGTAAGTGACTGTAATCTCCCATGGCTCTCTTTCCCTCCATCACACTCACCTAACAGCATAAGGTGGAAACCTGCTAAGTGAATGATAAACTAATCGGGTCTTTGATAGCCAAGTTGGGTACACGACAACGTTCAAAAATTCTCTGGAGATGTTAATGGACTCCTTCGACATATGGAACGCTACTATTCCGTTACTCAGCTCAATGCCAGGTCTTCAGTATTCTTGGACTTTGGAGCCGCTTCCGCCTATCATTGCTGCAAACTCCGCTCGCAGGGGTGGGAACATTCTTGGAGTCACTGTTGCCGACGGGCCATTAGTTTTGTGCCTATTAACAGTCACATACTCTGAGCCTAAGAATGACGAGACAGCACGCAGAGTGGCACAGAAAGTCATTGCGGATGTTGAGACTCGTGCGAAGCAGCTAGGTGTCTTCCATCCATTTAAGTATGCAGGATATGCGGGCAAGGGTCAAAACCCCATTCTTAGTTATGGAATGAGAAACGTTCAATTTGTGAAGAAGGTTAGTCGACGGTATGACCCTGATCGAATATTCCAAGATGCGGTACCAGGGGGTTTCAAGCTAGACGATGTACATAATTGAGATGCGCAACCGCAATAGATTCGCTCTTCACATCGAACTAACTAGTTCCCCTTTTCCAAAAGCCCAGTGGTTGCTCTGGGTCGGACCAGAGATGAAGAAAGGGAAGAGGCTCGTATCAACCCGGCCTGACGCTTAACCACCCCTAAGCTCAGTTACGTTCGACGTACCCCTTCAGATCCCGAGCCAGAACTTCGAACTGGTGCTGGAAATGATCCTTGAGTGGGAGCAGAACCTCCCTTGCCTTCTCCCCATATTGTGTCTGCCAATGCGTATATCTCGTCCAGCCGCCTCCAAGGGGCGTGAACGCGCTCACATGCTCAGAGTGCCCGATAAGAGCCTCCAACTCATCATTCTTCCAGGCAGTAAGGAGAGGGCGCCGAACAACCGTCACAATATCAGTCGCATTCGAACTGGAGCCGGGGGGTATGCCGGTCGAGCTGAAACGTATGGGCATCCCAACGCGCACCTGTGCAGGCGAGTCGACCCCGGCGGGCGGAATGGCGTTGTAGACAAAGGTGTTCCATTCGGAGTAGCGTCGGAAATCTAGGATTGCGTCGCAAACTTGTTTCGTCGTTCCCTTGATTGTGATGCTTGCGCAGACAGAGAAAACAGCATCGACGAGCCCATATGTCGGCGTTGAATACAACCCAACATCGGTGCAGTCAACAATTGGGTAGCGGCTGGGATTGCCAAAGACAAGTGGCACAAAGGCAAGAAGGGTAGAAAATAATAGCATAGCCGTAACCAATGGGAAGAATCAAGGCTCTGCTGGATATATTGATACACTGTGCGCGGCTGTACTGGACAACAAAATAGGGAGGATTGGGGGTGCTCTGGTGGTACTTGAGCAAGTTATAATCGACTGACATGCCAGAGAATGGTAGCATCTTAACGAAACCATCCGCTACGAGGTTGCATAGGCAAGGATTATAGCCATCGTATTGCGAAAAGCAGTCCGTATATCTTTGCGCTGACGTTTCGAGCGACGGGCTCAGATCCTTCGGCCTGACACGATGGCAACAAGAGACGAGATGGGCTTTTTCGCTCGACTAGCCTTGTCTATCTACCGGACACGGAACAGCAAGATGCGCATACGATAATATCTGGAGTGCATGTCGTGGTGTGCTGTCAAAGGACATCATCCTTCCTGCACCTGGGCTAGGATGATGTCTGTACCCACAGGCAAGGCTGCAGCATCTATCGGTAAAACCCTTTGGTGGGCAATATTCTACAGGCCAAGCTGCCTGGGACAAGGTTCGTTCACTGGAGGTTGAAGAAACACGTTAATACGTTATTATAGGCTGATCTATTAGTTGTATAGTAGAGCAACATCGCCCTCATCCAGAAAAGATAGCTAGTTAATTGATAACAGTTAGAAATTCTCCTCGCCCCATACAAAATTAAAACCGGGCTCAGAGTACATGTTGCACTTTACGTGAAGCACGCTCCCTAGAGCTTTAGGCCCACAGAAAAACACCCCGGCCTCAGCTGGTGCATGAATCTTCCGGATTGATCGAAACACCATGTCCCAGTTTGGCCGGCCAAAGTTGGTGGGAGCACGAAGGCCGGTGATGGCGTCTCGGTCTGCGTCGGCATCGTTTATCATTATGTTTGTTGCGTCGTCAGTTTGGATCTTGGCCGTGAGGTACTGCGGGAAGTTAGCAAAAAAAGGAGTACACCAGCTGGCTAAGGGAGCGGGTATACCGTGTGAATCTCAATGTTGCTGTATTTATCCTGGGCTTCTATGGCAAGCAATAGCGAGCTGAACCACTCAAAGGAGCCGAAATCCCGACAAACCCAGAAGAAGTACACTTTCTTCAATCGAGTCTTGTTCTGTGGCTGGTTCATTCGATACCAGATACTCTTCAAGATGGAAGCAAAGGGGGTAACGCCAATCCCAGCACCAACCAACACTGCCACTTCGAATTTAAACACGTCCTCGGAGGCACTGCCAAACGGTCCATCAATGAATATCCGCGGTAGTATACGGCGAAGCCTTGGGTCAACATCATGATCTGCTGTATTGGCATCCACACCAATCACAGTCGATTCACGTTTGGCACGTCTTTCGTGGAAAGGCACGTTTATAGAAGTCTCCTTCTCCTCGAAGTCACAACCAACTGCTTTGGCGAGATCTTTTGTAAAATTCCCAACACAGCGTATGTGCACGGATATGTGGTCTTCTTCAGGGGCACTGGTGAGAGTAAACGGGTGGTATTGCCATATCGATACTGCCGGACAGTTGATAAATATATACTATGTAATGTTTCAGTAAAGCTGAGAGAACCATAGTAGAGAAATGGCTTACCTGTCCTGGCTTCATCTTTGTCTTCTCCTTTCGAAGTTGGATCTCGAAGACGTTGCTTGGATGTTGAATCACTTTCGTGATAATTGTTCTATGCTTGCCTCGAACCTCCCTCATTAGTCGTTCCAATAGATACACGGCCCCTCCAAATACCCAGTAGAGATAAAACACCCCTACACCGTCGCAAAAAGGAGGCAAGTCCGGCTTAATCATGCAGAAGGCTCCATGGAAGGACCAGAACAGGAAAAAGACAACGAAGAGATGGTGTGTATTCCAAAATCGCTCATGGTTCGCTCTTCGTGGGCCCTCCAGGGATGTCGCTGCAATTGCTACCAGAGCTATCAGCATAACGTACCCCGTCCAGCCGGGTCCTGTGGTGAAATTGAGTCGAAAAAAGCCTGATATCCCCAAACCCTCGGCAGACGCAATCCGGGCAAAATTGACCCAGTGAGCTATAGTGTGTAGAAGGGAGAAGAAAACGATGGACCAAGCCGTTACTAGATATGTTAATCGGGTAGAGAGTGCTTGGAGAGAGGTTGTACATACTCTGGTGGAACGGTATACTTTTATCTATTGTACCATTAGTATATTCCTTAAAATAGACCTCACCAGTATAGGCTTACCAAAGGGTATAACCCCGTTCAGGGGAGTTTGCCTCAAAAGAGAAATAAGATTACGGGAGACGGCTATACATGTTAGATATTTAACACTAAGAGCACTTTTACCTTAATACGTACGGAATAAAATGACGGCGACATCAAAATGTAGCACTAATGCAGCCGCTCTGGCAATGGGATAACTGGATCCAAGCAATCCTCTGGCATTGCTAAGATTATCCTGTATTGATGTTAATTGAAACCAAATTTTCCATGTGAGTTGAGACGGAGGAGTACCTTTAAACTATAGTTCAGTATACCGACTACAAATAGTAGGACATGAACCAAGGCAAAAATGGTAACGAATCTGCTCTCAGATTAGTCCATATCCATAGGAAAGCACAAAGTTGGGCCATACAATCTCCTCCATCCGTCATTAACCATCCTGGGGTAACAAAGTTAGTTCCTATACATGGCCTTCCCGGGTTTTTTTAATCACATACCATCTATTAAATTTCTCCTTTATGTTCAGGTTCCTCGGTGGATCTCCGCTCATCTCACCGGACATCAACATTCTTGCTAATGGAGGAATCCTGGACCGTTCTTGCTCCTGGGATTGCCAGGGTATATGTGACATCTCGATGCCACCACGAAGGCGACTCCTGCCACTGCCATGGGATTGTCGGTTCATCCTGCCGAAGTAGATCGGGTGCGAGGCTCTTTAGGCAATGCAGATCCAAAAAAGAATAAACGGGTATAAAACTTAGGCTGATATCTAGCTAGGTGTTGATCATACTCTAGCGTCTGATATCGTCGCTTGTATGTCCTTCGTCTCTTGTAATGAGGGATAAAGCGATAGGTCAAATTCAAGATATTCTCAAATCAACCCGTCACTGACCCATCGTCGCCTTTTTATTCTATCCTCTGGCCTTGCTCCGGTCCAGCTCCTCCCTTGCCGTGCTCTGTCCCTGCATCTCAGACACGGCGCTTAAAACCTGTGACATGACGTGCGTTTGCCCAATGAACGCGCAGGACAAGCCAACAGAACTTAGATGCGGAGACAGGGGTTATCGAGGCGAAGGCCAGGGAGTTAGGAATGGTGGCTATGGCTACAGTTAGCAGATTCTGTAAATAAGCGGTTGGTTGGTCGTACGGAGTGGCTAGTTGTCGTTGTTGTAGGTACTGTTAACACGAGCCTATAGTACGAAGCTACAGATGAAATGAAACGCCATCTTGCCCGCTGAAGACCCGTTGAGCACTCTATTGGTTTGTCTCGTAGCGGACGCTGAGATATACTGGAGTTGGAGAAGAAGTTGAAGTCGCCAGATAAATTTATAATAATGTAGGACTGGAACCGCTTCCAGATCGGGCAAGCCAATACATTTTACTCTACATTTCATATAAGACAAATTAAGAAGCTCGAGAAGTATCGAGATATAATATGAGATAGTCCAGTGAATAGATGAGATCATGTTATTGTTTTCTCGTTTATTCATATATACCCTTCACTCGTTATATACTATCGCTTCAACCAGTCCATCCCAAAGACTCCAGCTCTCCCCTTACTAAATCCTCGGTGTGGATTTTCTTCATCTGCGTCTCCTCCAGCTTCTCGCCACCGGCAACACGCATCTTCAGCTCGTCAATGGCGCGGACCTTCTTCAAGAGACTGCGCATTTTCTTCTCCCGAGCTATGGCTGCAGCGTCAGGAACGGCGTTGGCGGTGTTGCCGCCATCGGGTGAGGTGACGGTAAGGTCTGGTGGTGCAGCTTGTTGACGTCCACTAGTATTGACGCTGACAGCCGGTGCACGACGGTCTTGATGCTGTTGGGCGTTCCCGTTGCGGTTGGGCGTATTGTTGCGGCCGTCACTACGCTGGCGGCGATGAGAGCTTCTGCTTCGATCACGGGGCCCGCGAGGATAGTTCGGGCCCAGGTTTGCGCCGTTGGTATTGCCATTCGCGCCACCGCTGGGGTGTTGTCTGTGACCTCGAGAGCGGCTACGATCTCGCCTATCCGAACTGGGTGCGGTCGGGATGGCGGCATCACCGGCTTCGCCTTGGTTGGCACTGGCCTCCTTGGCCTTCTTGGCTTCTCGCTTCTTCTTGTTCTTTGCAGCCGACTTGGATAACTTTTCAGATCCAGCTGCACCGGCGTCAGCTCCAGGGGGAAGAGCAACACCGCCTCCCGGAGCGGCTCCGGGTGGTAAGAACTCTTCCGCTGGTTCGGCGCCAGGCACAGCACGACGACGTGGCCTTCCAAAGGAACCTCCGGCTGCTCCGCCGTTCGACGCGAACGAAGACGAACCGTCACGTACAAAGGCAGCGCCGCCTTCGTCTTCACGGCGGAAAGCCAAGGGGGTGCTTTGTCCCCTAGCACCAGGCGGGCGATACGCACCCGCAGGCTTTGAAGGTGTCTTCTTGGTACTCAGGTATGCTAGAGCGGACGGATGCGGGTTTGGCATTGGGTGAAGAGGGTTTGATGTCAGCGGATGACTGCTGGGTGACTGTGGCCGCCACGAGACGGAATATAGCTCGTTCATGTCCTCATTGTACATCAAGGCACCAGAAACATGCCAGATGCGGACACCGTTATCAACACGCAGACGCGGGCTGGTGGTAGCGGTGAGGATGTGTTTACCATCCGGACTCCATTCACAGACACTAGCATTTGAAGCTTCAACAGTGACGATCTTCTTGTAGTCCTTCTCCACGTCGTAGATGTCCATTTGACCAGCCAAGTTACCAAAACCAGCAACGAGGACAAACCGGCCATGTGGAGAGAAGAGGATCGTATTTCGTGGGCCAAGCTGGAAGGAGTGTGTGGCTACGGCACGGGTGTTGAAGATGGTGGTCTTTGCAGGCATGTAGCCATAAACAACACCGAATTCTTTCGAAGTAGGAGACCATGTAACGTCGTGGATCGGGCCTTCTTTGTCTGTTTGTGTACATTAGTATCGTTGCTTTTTTTAAGGAGACTATGGCGTTACTTGAACGTACCTAGGTCGATCCTAGAATCAAAAGTTCCATTGACGCTAAGGAGATACAAAGTGGTCTCCCCGTAGTAACTTTTACCACTCTTGTCCACATCCGTCTGGGCAAGGACTATCAGAGTGGTACCAGTATTATTCCACTTCAGCTGCACCTTGTCACCCTTGTAAAACGATTTTTGAGAGACAGGCGCATTGAAGTTGGGCATATCGAATATCCTGACGGAAGCGGGTTGGCCCTGTCACAGCATTAGTTCATTGTTCATCAAAAAAAGAAAAGTGAGTAATTGCTGAGGTTATGTACCTTTCTTTCGGGGATAAAGGTGGCTACAGCATGTCCCTTGCCGGGAGAAAGAGCGAAATCCGAGACTCCCTCGACCCTCAGTTTCTTCCAAACGGCCGCAAGGTTCCCGCTCTCGTAAAACTGCACTTCATTTGTTACGACACGGGCGCAATACTGTTCATCTGCGGCATACTGCAGGTTCCAGCCGGTCTGTGATTTCTGCACGAAGCTTCCGATAGGTGTGTGCTGATCTGGTGTGTCATCGTCGTTGGCTTCCGGGGCGCGTTCCACAACCTTCCACACCTTGAGATTCCGGACTGCATCGCCATTGGCATCCTTGGATGGCCGTTGCCAGGTGATAACGTAGGTGCCCAGGGGCGAGAAGTCTATCTCATAGACATTTTCTGCGGGAATCTGGGCGACTGTATGGCCCACTGAAGGGTCGATGACGGTGACACTGCAGGATGTTTTTTTTTTGTGAGAATGATTCTCAAAATCAGCGAGAACACAAGACTTACCCTTCCGGGGCAGCCCAGGCGAAATACCGGCCGCACGCAGAATATGCGGAACAGCGGATGTTCCCTTCTGGTCTGGACAGCGGATTAGCTACAGGTCTGGCCTTTCTGTAAGATTTTTAGAGTAATAATAAGTACCGAACAAAACCAGCCAAAGGCTCGTAAACCGGCGCAGCATCGAGGATGCCAATACCTTTCACCGTACGGTCTGCAGTACAGGTCAGTACATGTTAAAAATCAGCCACGTCTCGGTTGGTTAAGCCTTACAAGCAAGCTGAGTCGGAGCTACCATGACTACTCAAAGCCACAGAACGGATCAACGCTAGGAGTTAAGTATTTTATCCCAGGCAGCAAAATTTCCTTCCCGAAACAAAAAAAAAAGCACGAGGCTCCGATATATAGAAGAATAACCAAAGAATATAAACGAAGGATTCGTCCTGATCAGCCCAGACGGTTTCTCGAGGGCTAAATTCACCGAAAGATCTTTTTGTCCAGTGGTTTTCTTTGTGCAGGGGACTTGCAGGTTGCTGGCAAATATCCGTTTGTGTGCTCCTAATATATATTCCTTGCCCGGCTTTGCTTGCTTGCTTACAACTTGCCAAGTCTCTTGTCTTCTCTCTCCGGTCGAAATCTGCAGGACAAGTGAATGCCAGCGAGAAGTCGAAGGTCGAAATCACCGATATAAAGCGTGCGAGGATCGATGCAGAGATATAGCTTGAACGTGCACTGTTCACGGGGCCTGTTCTTTATTGGTGGGCAACAAGGCGGCGACAACAGGCTCGATGGATCCTCCACGGGCGCTGGGCTGGATACAGCGGAAAGGCGGGCGAGAAGGGCGAGAATGGTGAAGGTGACGGCGTGAGGAGAGCGAAGAAAAGAAGAAGAGCAAAGAAGAAGAAGAAGAAAAGCTGAAAGTCTGAAGTTTTTTTTTCCCAAAGTGGGAAGAAGCGAGTTGGCTCGTGCATGCTTAGTCATGCTGAAGATAAGATCTTAAGCGTCACGTGATGATGATGACTTCAACAGCAGCGGAACAGCAAGACGAGGCCAAACGAACATAGGAATATATCGGCCTAGAATGAATATATTATAATATGGAGAAATACAAAGGGTGGCTGCATGGAAGCGTACTTTGCAGTGGGAGATACACACAAGCCCAAATCCAGGATCTATCAGGCAACAAAGCAAACATAGCATGACCAACCCATCGACCTATTCATCATGATGATGAGATCTGCTCTGTCGGGCAGCAATGTTTCGAGGGGTTTCTGTGTCCAGGGATCAATGATGTGCCCTTCTCCGCATATAAGTTGCATCCCATATCCCACAGGCTGCGTTGTGTTGCCCGCAATGCGAAAACTGGATCTCATCTCAGATAGCACGGAGTAACTATAGCAACCATTTTTGGCAAAGGTTCTCAATATGTCAAAGCCCATCAATCAGCGTCCCAAAAGGCCTACCACAGGTGCTCACCCGCTACCCAAGCGCTCAAAAATCGTACTAGTAGCGAATACGAGGAGTACCCCCCTCCCGGGAGCCACTCTTTGTATCCGCCCTTACGCAGGCATTCAAAAGGACAATTACCAAATTCCCTTCCATGGCATCACCTTCAACCAGGTTCAGGAAGCCTTTAATTCGGTACAGGGGAAGGATGACAACGTCTCATACGTCTTTGAATTCCCAGGTAGTGAGAATGAGTGGGAGAAGGTCCGTTCAATATTCAAACTGCTTTTGGGCGGAATTTATCACTTATATGCGATTACTATAACTAGCTCTCAACCAATCCGTTCTACCACTATGAAACATGGATCCGCAAGTTGGATCACCACAAGCACGGTCGGCCTGACCGAGAAATACCAGATGAAAATAATACAGAAATAAAGGACTACATCGAATATATTGGTTCGCGCTTATGGATCAAAGAAAACGATGGCGTCAGTAAACCCTCTAGAACGCGTCGCGGGGTGGGTAATGGTGAGCAATATGAATTTGACAAGGTGTATGAAATCATGCAAGGAAGCGCCGGAGCGTGCTTCACATGGGAGAACAAATATGGAATCGTGCCCCTATCGGCTGATAGAATGAGAGATGCGACGGGGGAGAGTCGCGAAGGCGGCCAGCAATCAATAATGAGCAACACATCTCCCGTAGAAGTGAGAATTCCCCTCCCTGACTGAGCGAAGAAGGTCCAGGGCCAGCTAGCTAACCAAATAATGTTGAGTTACAGGTAGCCTGCGGACTAGGGTGGAATAAAGATGACAAACAGCTTTCGGGCAGATCAATTGCTGAGGTGAGTTCAGTCTTTCAGAGCTGCTGATTCTATTTGTACGGGACGTAATATGCTCACCAACATCATCGCAGTGGCTTCACATATCTGCATTCGCATACGGTGGCCTCATGGATATGCCAAAGAGCACTCAGACGAGCCAAATGAAGATGAATTTTGTGCTTGGAACGGCTGAAACGAACTCGGTAATGCTGCGGTAAGAGGCCTGATCAAATGGAAGCCCTAACTACATGAGCATATGAAAGCTAATAAAGCCTGAATTCTAGATATGAAACGGCCTGGAAAGCCTTCTTTCTGAAGGAACAGGAACTGAGGGACTTGATGCAATTACCAGGAAACGGGCGCATAGTCAAAGGCCAGTTGACGTTTGTCAATAACATTGAACAAACCATTCAAAATCGTCAATTGAGCAATGGGGAGCACGTTGTGAGACCCATCGATTTTGATCGGAATGAATGGCTAAATGAATGCTTTGAGAAATGTCCATGGATGTGCTTCGCTTTACATTACACATTGAGCATGGATGGCCTCTCCAGAGTTCTCGACTGGTACAAACCGACGTTTAGCACCATCTTTTACCCTTTCTCGCGGCCATTTTACACAAAGGGGGAATCAACGGTAGATATGATTTTGCTCAAGGCTGCCTACGATGCTCAAACGATTATGTTGCAAGGGATACCTCCCATACCATGTGAGCGTTCTTTAATGACATATCCTTTGAAAAGGTCGAATATTGATGCTTGTCTCGTTGCTAGGAGATCCCTTCGACAAGCCGGCCTAGTGGACATACCGGAGCCCGCCTGCCAAAAGAAACAACTGGCTGCAAACCTTCTGCAAGTTCACAGTCTGCCAGTTCGCTCCTCTGTAGAGACCGCTGCGAAGCATTTCGTCGCCGCCGATGCAGCCCGTCGCGACAAAAGCACCATATTTGTTGGGGGTATACCCGTTCATAATACCTCGATTGTTGTCAGTCCTAAACCAGACAAGTTTGCCGACCTTCCTGTCGCAGTTTGCTCGGTGTCTGTCCCGCCGACGGAGGGGACTATTTTTCTTCCCTCTGGTGCCAAAATGACGGACATCAACACATCGTCCGAGAAAGCAACACTTGTAGTGTCTTCTGCCCCTAGGTCTGGCGTTCACGTCGCTAATCCATCGGGAGCAGAGACTCTGCAAGATGTAATAAACGAGCCCCTTTCAGAGCTCCGCACGATTGATGTTCACAAATATATCCTCAAGGGTGACATACATAACTTGCTGGGTATCTCCGGATTGAGCGGCCATCTTTACCTATTTCACAGCCGGGATAACGCCATGTCTACAACGGAAAAGGTCAAGATAAAGCTGGAGCACTTTGGGGGCGATCCTTTCGCCGGACTTTTCCCGCAGATTGGGAAGGTGTTGGCTCACAGTATTCCAATATCCAACGTCGAATTCGTTTACTCTGAGGGACATACTGAACTGCGACATACCGCAGGGTTGCGGTTGGAAGCTGATATTGAGTTTAGAGGTGCTCTTGAACCAGTGGCAGATCTGCTTGGTGTTCTCTTCAGTGTCTCCGGCAACACTCCCCCGGTTGCGCTCCATGTTTCTGCCCACCTATCCCATACAAGAGACTGGACTACCCCTCCGAGCTTTTCTTCCCTCATCCTGCAAGGCTCCTTTGAAAAGATGTCTTTCATGGTGGGAGACCTTCTGAAAATCCAAACTGTTGGAGTCGAGATCGCATTCATCAATGTTGCTGATTTAACAGGCACAGGGAGCACTTGGTCCCGGGGTTATGGCATTTTTGGGGAGCTTGAGATTCACCAGATTCCCGGCACGGCCGCTCCGCTTCGAGTCGCTTACAAGATGACCAAATTTACCCATAGCTACCAGATGGTTATGCAGTTTACTTCAACTGAATGGGAAGATGTTTTCGGCATACAAGGCTTAAATGTAAGTTTCGATCTATGTAGTTAGCGTCTCATTGAAGGCACGATCATGGGTAGGCTCTGCGTTGCTAACATGGGGGCAAAGATCACAGACGTGAATTTCTATACCTTCTTCGCTAGTATATCTATCAAAGACTCCTTGGTCCTTGCTATATCTGCGTCAATGAAGTTTGGCGATGCGCATCTGGTGCTTACTGGTCACTTTTCAAAAGGTCAGTGCCTTGCTGCGGTATATCCCTCGATGATCAAAATGCCATCTAAATTATTTCTAATCATTAGCGGAGACATATCTGGAAGCGAGTGTTGGCAATCTATCCTGGTCCACGATTTTAGCATTTTACAGCCAGTTGACAGGAACATCGATCGACAACCAGCTGGAGAGTCATGACATTAGTTTCGAAGACATGCACATCATACTGTCCACCAAGGGTGTGGTGATCGAGGGAAAGGTTCGTTTCAATGGCCATACCAGCTTGGAGGGCTCCCTGGAGCTTGGCAAAGACGGCATTTCAATCGGGGGCGGCGTGGCCGATTTTCTCATCGATGACGCTGGAATCGAGATTAAACAGGCCAGGATCGATGTATTTGTAGCATCAGCAGAAAGCACATGCGTGTCTAGGTTTTCCATTCATGGAAAGGTTTCCTTTAGTGGGATCACTGTCACGGCTGCCTTCATGATAGAGGGCAAAGAGACTAAGTCCGAGTTAAATCAGACATCGGAACGGCAATGGTCCCTGTTTGGTCGATATGAAGGCAACCTGCGCCTGAGAGACATGTGCCCTGGCCCAATAGAAGGGGGAATAGGCGATCTCGAACTCAGAAACATTACTCTAATTGCCGCATCTGGAGAAATGGCTGATATTGAAAAGCTGAATACGCTCAAGTACCCGGTTAAGAAGGGTGGGCAAATATGTTATTATCCCTGGCCTCAGAAGTGCAGAAACTGACGAATTGATGACAGGAATATCGCTTTGTGCCACAATTTCACCAATGGAAGAATTGAATGGCTTTGCCCAGCGGGATATCGATGGTTTGATTCTCATCGCGACCATAGAGGACACGCTAGCAGTGCAGGTTCAGCTCCCTACGGCATTTGATGTGGGTTTCTCTTTCTTTCGCATACTCTGTAATTGTATAGACAAAGAGCTCCTACTAATCACATCCACCAGGTCGAAATCACCAAAACTGCCAAACTGACTGATATCAGTGTTGGCATTGAGATTAGCGAAAACCCCAGCTTGATGGTTACCTCTGTTCTGAACATCCTCATGGAACCAGGAAAGGATCCACTTAGACTGGAGGGTAGAATCAAAGCTGGCCTGCGGGATGCATCGGCCTTAGTGTATGAGGCAAAATCCGTTTCATCCTCAAAAGTCTTGCAATGCTGACATTTGCCATTAGTGTTACAAAGTCGCCATGGGTGAACCCCTTTAACATCAGCAAGGAGGTGACAGTTGTCGATTTCAAAGTCCTCCTCGGGGTAACCTATGCAACCCTGGAAGTATTTGGTCCATCGTAAGCTAATAGTCTGATCCGGCCATTACTTGACATCGGCTAGCTAACATCAGGTGTAGCCAAATGGCCCTTGCGGGGACCCTTCGAGTTGGAGAATTGACTGCAAGCGCAGGCATGTCTATCAGTCAGTACCCGGATCAGCAATTGCTCAAGGCAGATATTTCGAAGGTCGATCTTATTCAGATAATCCGCGTTGCCGGGCATGTAGCCAACATTGAGGTTTTGAAAAACATAAGTGGGGGTGAGGATACGTTTGTCTTCACCAAAGCGTATGTGTATGTCTCTACCGGAGCGTCCATTGGGGGAAGAGAGTATCGTCGAGGAATTTCAGCTGGCGGAGGTCTAACAGCCTTTGGCAAAACTGCCAGGTTTGACCTTCGCATTGGTGCGGGTGGTCTAGACTTCCAGGGGTACATTGAAAACTTCAGTCTTGGACCTCTGGCTGTGTCTTCCGCGAGCGGAGAACCACAGGCAAGCATGGTTATGCGCATGACCAGGGATGAACAGGTGATAAAGGTTGACGGAATGATAACGTGCTTTGGCATTGGATTGGCGGCGCTTGTGGACATCCAGATGGGCACCGACACCCCGTCCTTCACGGCGTATCTGGCAGTGCAGTTCACAGACGCATTCAAGATCAGTATTACGGCAACTGTGGCGGACTTCCGGGATATCAAAGACCTGGCACTCAAAGACCTTTACTTCGAGGGCAGGATTGAGGGAGATCTCTTTGAAGTGGTTTGCCAAAGTATCAAGGGGATGCTCCAGTCAATCGAGGAATTAGGCACTCAGGGTCTTGAGTCTCTTCAACACTTGATTGGAGAAAAAATCGCGGAGAGACAACGTGAGATGGACCAACTTGCCCAGAAAGTTACAGAGACGCGTGAGAAGGTTGCAAGCGAACGCCAAAGGCGTCAGGCTGCCATGCAACGCGAGAAGGGGAAACGAGAAGAGGCAAAGGAGAAAATAAAACGGCTACAGGACAACTTGGCTAACAAGATAGCTGACCGCAACCGTGTTGAGAAGGAGCTGAAAGATAATGTTGAGAAGGCCAAGCTGAAAAGGGCTGCTCTTATTCAACGCAAGAGACGGGAGTATGATGAAAAGTTGAAGCAAGCTAAACAACAAGAGGCCGACAGTTGCAGAAGGCTGGAGGAATTGAAGTATCGACAACGAACGAAATATGGGACTGATTTTCTCAAAAAGGTGGATCTTGCCAAGGGAGCTTTGTGTGAGAAACAAGCCGCCGAACGGGCCTCTTGGAATGCCGTTGTATGGGTTTATTGGCAAAAAGAATATGCCAGTGTGTGAGTTGCCACACCCTAGCGGATTGTTGTTCCATGCTGACTCTAATTAACTAGCATGACTGTGGCATATTGGGTATGCTATGAACTTTCGTATTTGCGATGTGCCACGCTTTGAAACCAAGTAACTGACTGTTGTATAACACGCAGGCTACAAGACTCGAAGTAGCAAAGGCAGCACACGAAGTTGTCAAGGCAGCAACTGCTGTCTATCAGGAAGCTGCGAGCAGCTTGGAGGCCACCGCCAACTCCGTCGCATTTCAAACCTTGGTGGCGGGTATAGAAGAAGCAGAGAAGGGTGTAGAAAGAGCAGTAAATGGAATTGACAAGCTTACCTCGGGAGATGGTTTCGACGGGTTTGTCAGAGCTTTTATCGACACGGAGGAAAGCAGAATTGATGCAGCAATAAGAGAGCTGGATGCAATGCAGAACGAAAACAGCGAACTGCAAAAGGCAGTCCAGGAGGCTCAGGAAATACTGGGCCGAGACAGACCGGAACTCGAAAGGGAGATTGCAGAGGCTGATGAGGCTATAGAGCGCCTCCAGGAAGACGCAGAGCTCGCGAAGCTCCAACGGGACTACGACAATCAGCTCAAAATCCACGATGAGGTGCATAATGTTATTCAGGGAATGCAGGCCGGTCTAGAGACCCTCAAAGAAAATTGGCAAGACGGTATGCATGAGCTTGAGAACGTGGTGGATAGTATCCAGAAGGCCGTTGCATCCATGATTCACATCGAGAGAATTGAGGTGGCCGCTCACACCCATGCTCTGGCCAACAACGAACCCCTAAAGTTCGTGTTCATTGGGGATTTGGGCGGCGGGCGGTTTAAGATTCATGCTGAGTGGTCACCAGGTAATTCGCTTCAAGCGTTATATAAGGAAGTAACCGAGGGTATTCTCGAATTTGCAGGGGATAGAGATATAATATAACGAAATAAATCAAACCCTATATAAATCATTAGGGTTTGGTAGAATCAGGTATATTACTAGTAAGAGTTAGCGAAGTTCTTAGGGAAGATATCTACCAAATAGATAGATACTATTATCGTATATATTAGATTCTATAGTAGAAGAGCTATATATGAATAAATCTTCTAGTAATGATCGAAATTAGCTTCTCCTAATTTCTAATATTCTAGAGGCAGAGATAGAATATATCTTAAAGAAGCCTTCAAGGTATAGAAAGACGGAACGTAGGTTAGCGCGCAATAATAATCTCCGTCCTTATCATCAAGCTCTTTAGACCCTTCTTCTCTATCCACTTTTTGGAATAAAATACGCACTTTTCCTTCTTTATATCCACGTTTTGGAATACATCAGGGTAGTCCACCGTCGGGAATGTGGCCGTCTTATCAGGGAATATGCGGGAATGATGATTTCCCAAGGCCGTCCCTCTCCTGTGCGCCAGTTCAGAACGCCGCTCTCGCCGGGAAAAATCCCCATCGGGGTGGTGATAAGTATGTTGTGAAATAATATCGGGTTTCTACGCTTCAGCCCAAAAGCGCAGCTCAACGCCCTTCCAGATAGAAGATTTGAAGATATGCCGTCGATTTCAGACATCGAGCACTATGATGTGGCGGTCGTTGGTGCTGGTAAGTTCCTTTTTTTGGGGGACATCCAAGAGACTAACTAGTGATGTACTCCGTATTAAATATGCTGATAAATATATCATAGGATGGTACGGCCTTGTCGCTGCGCATACGTTTCTGAAACTGGCCCCGGAAAGCCGTCTTTCTTGTCATCGACGACAGCAAGACCATTGGCGGAGTATGGAGCGAGGAGAGAATATATCCCACCCTCTACGCGCAGATATGCTATCCTCTGTTTGAGTATTCGTTCTACCCCATGAAGAATGAGAACATCTCACCTGACGGCTTCATCTCGGGCACTGCAATCCACAACTACCTGGTCAGCTTTGCCAGAGACCATGGCCTGCTCGGCCGTACTCGCCTGGAGACTCGGGTAGTGGCCGTGGAGAGAGGCAGCAACGGCAGCGGTTGGATCCTCGAGGTGAACAATGGGCCACTGATTGAATGTGAAAAGCTCATCTACGCAACTGGAGCAAATTCAAGCCCTATCAGACCCGCTTGACCGCAAGATAACTTCCACAAGCCAGTCATCCACTCGCTCGATTTTGGTAGCTGGCGCCATCATATCGAGAGTGATGCCGTCAATAGAGCCACCGTGGTCGGGGCATCCAAGTCCTCTTATGACACAGTCTACAATCTTCTCAAGTCTGGAAAGGAAATCGCCTGGATCATACGAAAGAGCAATTCAGGTCCATTTTCACTCTTTGCGCCCACGTTTATGGGCCTATGGCATATCTCGGATCACATATCGACACGACTTGCGGCTAGTTTTAGCCCTAGTATCATGAATATCTCAGGCCACTGGAACATGTTTTTGCAAAGGACAGCGCCCGGCCAATTCATCACTCGTTTATATTGGCAAGTGGCGACTGCTTTGGCCAGCCAGTATGCTCAATTTTCCAAGAGCGAACACACCCAATACCTTTGACCGTGGCCACATCATGACGGGTATGTAGGGGAGAGAAGCCCCGTTATTCTCCCATCCTTTTCTCTCCAGCGCGAACTAACTGGTATGTTTAGCCTTTTTTGGGGGAGCGGCGGGATTGGCATCGCTACCGTGCCTGATTTCTGGCAGGTGATTCATAATGGAGATGTAACCATACACCAAACAGGAATCGAATCTCTGTACCACCAGGATGTGGTTAACCTCGAAGACGGGTTCTCCGTCCCTGCAGACATTGTGATACACTGCACCGGGTTTGACAAGGGCTATGATACTTTCAGTCCCGAGCTGCAAGATGAGTTAGGTCTGCGTTATGACTCTTCCCAGTTCTCTAAATGGACAGTGCTCGATTCCCAAGCTGAAGCACATATAGATCAGTTACTGCCAATACTCAAAAACTCTCCATTCGATGTACTAGACGGCCAACGAAAGCATACTCAGGGCCCGAATAGGCATTATAGACGCCTGGTCGTGCCAAATCTGGCTGCCAAAGGCGACCGGTCCATCTTATTTCCTGGGCATATCCATCCGGCCTTTACGCCGTTGGCGGCCAAGCTACAGGCCCTCTGGGGGTTTGCCTGGATGCATGGCTGGCTGGACCTACCCTCGCAAGAGGAAATGGAACGAGAGGCCGCCATTTTCAATGCTTGGACGCGAAAGCGATATATCGAACAGGGGAAAAAACACTCTTATTTCATATACGATTATATCTCTGTAAGTACTTTCCACTCTCTTTCTCTACGTGTGGATGTTTTAACGGCTAATTTGTTTTCCCAAGTATCTTGACACTCTTATGAGGGACCTTGGCCTCAATCCTTATAGAAAGAAAAGTGCTTTTGCGGAGTGGTTTATGCCTTACCGGCCTAGTGACTATCGTGGGGTAATTGACGAGTACTTGGCTTCTAAACCGGCAAGCGAAGAAAAAAAGAAGATCAAATCACATACACTACATGGCGGTCAGGATGGTGCATGTGGGTCCATGACTAACGGCGACTGATTTGATGTCCAATTTTATTTGCGATGCACCTTTCTACCGGTCGATTTAGTGCTTTCTCCGTAAGGTTAAGGTCCGCAAACCTTACACGGAGATGGGGCGGCCGCCTCTGCCGGTAAAACAAAGAACCACACGGACATGAGGCGGCCGCTCCAACCGGGAATGTTCTATATAGATATTATCCACGTATAATATACAACTGCTGGATGGCTGCCCTCCACATACAATGGCAATGTGATTTTTGGTTCATTCCCACCTCATACTATCGTTATCCCATATAACGCAATATGGACATCGAAAAACCGGAAGCAGAGATGACTGTTGCTGGTGACAGTGGCTGCAGCAACAGTAACAACAACCCCAGTTCAGGTCATGGTCATGGGGATCCTTCACCTCGGCAGATCCGGGGATGGAAGGTGAGTATTCATGTTAATATGGCGCTTCGTCAAACAAAGGCTGAGGTGCTTGCTTTCTTATAGTGGGCAGTAGCCTATGCATCAATGCTCTCAACCACGTTTCTTTTCTCGCTCGATAACACCATTGTAGGTATTTTCTAGATTGCTGGCCCCGTTATATAACGTTTGGAAAGCCTACTGACCCTTTAATCCAAGGTCGCTGATATTCAACCTGCTATCCTCGAGTTATTTGGCCAAGTTCAACTTCTCCCGTGGATAGGGGTTGGGTTCGCCCTCGGGACTATGTGCGTTTTGCCCTGGGGAAAGGTTTATGGAGTCTTCAATGCAAAATGGGTTTACCTGTTTAATATTGTGCTCTTTGAACTTGGTAGCGCTGTTTGTGGATCCGCTCCCAACATCGCTGTTTTGATCTTGGGCCGTGTAATTGCGGGTGTTGGTGGCGCCGGGATGTACTCTGGTACACTTTCCTTTGTGGCAATCTTGACAACTATTAAGGAAAGGCCAATTTATATGGCTGGCAGTACAGTGGTCTGGGGCCTTGGAAGCGTGTTGGGTCCTATCGTTGGTGGTGCATTTGCCCAGAGCTCGGCGTCCTGGCGATGGGTATGTTATATTTGAAAATTGAAATTTTGAGCGTCTACATTATTACGGCACAGCTAATGAAATACTCCTGCTAGGCATTTTATATCAATCTTCCCATCGGGGCTGCCTTTCTACCAGCTTACCTATTTCTGATCCCTAGCGTTGACCCCCAGCCTAGCAAATCATTCAAGGAGAAATGCAAGATGATTGATTGGATCATGACAACAATTTTCCTAGGCGGGTCAGCGTGCCTAATCATGGCTATTACATTTGGAGGTGTTGTGTATTCCTGGAACTCCGCATCTACGATCGTGCTGTGGGCTATGAGTGCTGTTCTGCTTATAGTGTCTATCCTTGTCGCCAAATTTCATCCTGGTGTTAACCGTGAAAATCGCCTATACCCGGTGCATTTCCTCAACCGGCCAATTTTAATAAATCTACAGATTCAGATGTTTTTGGTCTCTGGAATAGCGCTAGTAGGTTTACCTACTAGTTTTGATATTGGAATACTTTAACTAATTTGGTTCTTAAGGCAACTACATATTATATTCCACTGTACTTTCAGTTCCTCCATGTAAGTAACCCCTCAGAGCGTGGCGATGGAATGGGCTGATAGAATTTATTATATAGGGTGATGGACCTCTCCAAGCTGGTGTCCGACTACTACCATTCATCATAAGTCTGGTTGTTGTCTCTATGATAAATGGGGCTTTTATGCCAGCATTACCTTACGCTATGCCTTGGTACACTGCTGGCAGTGCTCTTGTCGTCATCGGTACGGCGCTAATGTGTATGTACCGCCAACTTCCTTCATCTCGTGTCAACCCCCGTCTTACAGGTTTACAGATACCGTTAACCTCGATACATCTAACGCTAAAATATATGGATACACCATTCTTGTTGGAGCTGGGACCGGATGCTATGTTGTAGCTGGCTTTGCCATTGTCCAGTCTTTAGTTTCTCCCAAAGATATACCCAATGCTGTGGGTGCCATGGCTATTTGTATGTGATTTAAGACTTTCCTCTCCTCGTCCATTTGTGGAAAATGATCCTAATGCCTATATAGCCCAAGATCTCGGCATGGTTGTCTTTCTTTCACTAGCGGGATCAATCTATCAAAATCTTTCCTTGAAAGAAGTTGCTCGAGCGCTACCCTCCGCCAGCAAAAGCGAGTTAACAGACTTGATCGCCGGAACAAGCAGCCGAAGTTTCAAGGCGTTATCCCAGGCAGATAAAGACGCAGTTATTCCTTATATTACTGGTCCTATGCGTAATGTTTGGCTGTTCTTCTTAGTTGCTGCTATATTGAGCTTTTTGTTGTCGGCAATGCTTGGAGTACGCCTCAATCTCTCATGTACCCCATACTATATCCTCTTATATTGGGATAACTAGGTGCTAACTTCTTCAATTTTAATTTTAGAAAACGAGGCTAATGGGTGCCACTGTCAACGGCGGGGGTACCTCAATTATCAATTGAGTGGCCCTTTGCCGATACGACAGTCCAGCAAAGACCTGACTCGTGCGGCTGTGGAGTTATCGGCCAAGGCCGGCTCGCGGCAGCTACTAGTTAAGCAATCCACCAGCGACAAATCAACAATGTTCTCGATGTCTCTCTCTCTCTTTCTCTTTGATTTTCTGCTATCGTGTCTTCGCTCACAGGCAACTTTTAGGTAGAATAGAATGACCGGTACAGCCGCCTCAGTTAACAGTTAAAATAAAATAACAATAACTAATGGCAATCTTGATAAGCGCGTGACACTAAGGTTTCTATACTTAGGGGCTTGGATATGTGCGAAAAAGAGCAAAAAAATTGTTGGAAATTCCCATTTTTACTTGAGAATTTCTATGCTCTGAGTGAGTTCCCAATCCAACATATAAACAAGGTATAGGTTAGAATGCATAGCGTAGATGCAGCAATTCAACTTCCAGTGTTGAAACCCCCCTGCTTATTATCCCATTTCTCCAAAGTTGTGGATGCCACCGTACTGGTTATGTGCCAATACCCTTCAGGCTCTTCAACCTGGTCAAGAGCGGCACGTAGCAACCGTAGAGCATCCACAATGTTGATAGAAGTGGCATCGCCCGATTCTTGTAGGCAGCGAGTGAGTGCTTTCATGCCTGTAGCTAGAGGATGGCCAAGAAAAGTTGCTTGAAGGGTAAAGAAGTCTCGCTATAGAAATATTAGTAACTAAGCTGATAATCAAAATCCGGATAAGGAGGCTTTACCTCCGATCTCTGCGCGGGCCAGTTCATGCGTATAGCGCTCAGAATCTTGAGCGCTGCGGCAGTTGAACATTTTTTGCTCTCTGCCGCTACAAGTTTAGGCAGCTCCTGGTCTTCAACCTTTTGGATAGCAGCCTCATGCAAGTATATGTGTGTAGCGCAAAGGTTTGTATGTAATGAAAACGCCAGAGGATCTTCACGTACTGCCGCAGCACTCAGGTGGTCTTGGAATATTGCGGTATAGTCACTGATCATTTTCACTAAACGATAGTGTCGGTCCCAAAATCCTTCGTCGGTAGGTCTGATAGATAGTATATAGACATGTTTGTAACTCCAGCGGGCTAATTTTACCATGATAACGATAGCAGAGAAGGGCGAAACGAGGTGTATCATCGCACGTAGCCGTTCCGGGTTACCTAAGAAGGGTATTGTTGGCGAAGGGACGAAATCGTCCGTTAACTGTCCTGGGGAGGGCAGGCGGATTTGTAAGTTATCTTCGTCCAAGAGACAGGCCTTATTCATCCGGACACTCGCATAGCCCTCAAACACATAGAGTGCCCAAAACGACCGCCTCATTTCCTCTAGCCGTATAGGCTGTCTAGTAGACGAGGCGGGGGCTCTGAGGCTAGACGGTGAACCAGTAGAACTGTGCTCAAATCTGCTAACTATTCTATGAGTTTCACTGTCTAGCTCATGCAGGTTCAGCAAACCTGCTAATGCGATCGCTCTTCTCAGGGTCATCCACGCACGAGTCAGATGGCTTTTGGTCAGTTCGTATCGAATAATGAATACAAGGGCCTGAAAAGTATTCAAATTCATAAAAAGGGTCTCATCCTCGTCTCTCTCACAGAGCTCAACGTACTTGCGCGCAGCGGTATAGCAGACCTGCTGTAAATGATTGAATCTACTGGACACGGTAGTTCCAATGAGAGCAACGCCATAGGATAAAGCCTGTATCGGTAGGGATGCCGGGTTGTTGTTCCGCTCTGTTCTGAAGCGGGATTGGCTTAGGATCGGTAGGACAGGGTAGTAGTACTCGAAGAAATTATAATGTCTTCAATTGTATTAATTTCTTCGTTATCTCGTAAATCGGGCTTTCTTTTATCATTATTTCACTCACAATGTTACCATATCCTGTGTAGATATCTCCTTCTCTACCCAGTGTTTGTCAATGGGAGAGGTATATATTCCGAATTCTGACTGGAGCTGAGAGGAAGGGTCTGAATACGGGGTGTCCAGTAGATCTAGCAGCTGCGGCAATCCGCCGGCCTCCTCCGGGGACGGTATGGGAGCGGATAGATCTAGCCCCGAGTAGTTCCAGAAATCCGGTATGTCATTGGTAAGGTTAACGAGTAAATCGAATCCTTCGTTTCCATGGTCAATTTGCATAGTCCCGGGGTTGTTGTTATCATGGAAAACTACGGGGTCCTCAGCAAGTTCCAACTGTATGGGCTGTGGCTGCTGATGCTGGTTCTGCACGGTTGGCGGAGTGGGTATAGAGGCCCTCAACGGGCTGAGCAGAGCTTCGGCTTGTGCTGCGCCGAATAGTTATTAAAGCTGATCATAGATATAACAACGCGAACGAGGGCCTACCCAGTCTCTCTCGAAGCTCCGATAGCTGGCGAGGAAGGTCAGCTTGAGCCACACGATGTCGCTTCCGGCCCTGATAGCTACACTCATAACCAAGCCGCCCACACCGTCCGCACTGTGGATCTGCCCGATCACAGCGGACTTTCCCTGCACAATTGGGTTTGTTAGCCGAAGTAAAGATCTATATATGAGACGACACTTGCTTTCTCTGCAGATATCGCATGCCAGGCGGCCAGGAGTTGATGCGGTGTTTGCGCCCTTCGAACCAGCGATACTGCTCGCATTAGATTTTGCCCTGGGGACATTATGCTCGCCTTCTCCTGTGAACTCCGGAGAAGGCATTGATGGTAGCCAAGTAGTTACCTAGATACCGACAAACGCGAAGGCGGTTGTATTAAATATACGCTGTCGACAGCGCAGTCAAGTTCCTCCTCCGAGGCGTAACTAATCACATCCATACTCTACTCTGCTCCTTCATGAGCCAAGCAAAAAGCGGCCCTACTCTAACCCGGTAGTTAACAAGTGGACGAAGATGGCAAATGTACGGAGTATGTAAAAAATATCAAATCTATTGGCGCCTAGTCAACTGCCCCTTTTTAATTTTTCATCTTTTGAGTTGTGCACCTAGATTTATATTAGCATTGAGAAAGCGAACATAGACTATCTTGTCCTGGACAAAGGGGTCTATAATCACTATATAGCGCATGGTTGTCGAATCTTACAAGACCTCCTGGACCAGGTACTTGAGAACTACTCGACTATGGGAAGAGGCTATTACCGCACTTCCGATGTAAATGCTTCCTAGAGAGTGATTTCTTTCCAATAGTCAAAAAGTAGTAAGTAAATAAATATTCTCTCCCATGAGGTCGGGGTTCACACAATAGTTACTTATACTTATAATAAGTGCTGGATACGACACGCGAACAGCCAAGTTCGCCGACTATCCTATCTGTGAGTCCGTGGTCTTTGGAGAGCTTTGGCGTACCCGAACCAAAGCCCAAATGATCTCGTTAGAAGAGGGCGTTTTATGGGAGAACGGTTCGGGCAGGTGATGCAATTCATAAGGTATAGATTGTTACTCTGGCTTGCCCTTCTCGTGTCTGAGTGTGGAGGTTGATTTATACTAACTAGTGCAATAGGTTACTCCCAACTCAGCACTAGGAGGCTGCACTGCAATGGAGGATGTCGTTTGCATTAGCAACGCATTGCACGCGGCCCTCAACCTACACCCAAACAAGAAACCGTCAGATGTTGAGATTAGCACCGGTCGTAGGGAACGGGGAACGGGGTCATCACTGCCGCTACACCAGGTCGAATCTTGTTAATCGATGCATATAATACCCGAGCACAGGCCTCTTTAGATTGACATGGCCTGCATTGCATGACTTGGTCTGGGAGAAAAACAAGGAGGTTCCCTTACACCTGGCGTGCACCTCTTGATCTTGCAGGAACCAAAACCACGGAGATGATATTAGTACTTGTCAAGCCGAAGCCCAGTCACCTCCTGCTGCTGGGAGCCGTGGGCATTATCTCCATATGGGGCTTCATTGGATACTGGGGTGGCATGTTCGATAACTTTGATGCTATTGTTGCTTCCTCTAAAGTTCGTGTTCACCGGGGATTTGGGCGACGAGCGGTTTGACATTCATGCCGGGTGGTCACCAGGCAATTCGCTTCAAGCGTTATATAAGGACGTGACCGAGGGTATTCTCGAATTTCGGGGGATAGAGACATTGAGATATGATGTAACGAAATAAATAATATAAATCATTGAGGTTTGGCAGGATCAGGCATTGTTAAGAACGGGGATGCCGTCATTGCTCCACGAGCGGGCGTTGATGTGGAGATTGCTCATTAGCATAAAGAGTGTGTGATAGCGAAGTTCTTAGACGTCTACTAAATGGATAGATACTATTATCGTGCACGTTAGATTCTATAGTAGAAGAGCTATACATAATAAATCTTCTAGTGATAGTCGAAATCAGCTTCTCCCAATTTCTAATATTCTGGAGGCAGAGATAGAATATATCTCAAAGAAGCCTTCAAGGTATGGAAAGACGGAACGCAGGCGCGCAATAATGATCTCCGTCCTCATCATCAAGCTCTTCAGACCCTTCTTTATATCCACTTTTTGGAATAAAATACGCACTTTTCCTTCTATCCACTGTTTAAAATACATAGACTTCTAGACTTCGCTCCGTAAATTAGAATATAAATAGACCTCCATAAATAATAAAGATAGAGTTAAGGCCGCTTACTATGTATAGATTAGACTCACTACTATATGTAGCGTCCAAACCTTCGAGCGACAACGAGATATTGACTCGCAGCAGGACTAGTCACGCAAAGGTACGAGTACGGAGAATCATGGGCTTGCGGTGCAGCTAGGTACTTTCGAGGGCTTCATACATCATGATATAGTGAGTTATACTCCTATACAGTCTAAGACTAGGTCGACAATCTTTGGAGACCAATAGCACGTCCACATACAAGACGACAGGATAGACGACAGGAATGACAGGAATTCACTACCATCCTTCTTCTCTTCTGCGGGCCCTCCATCCTATACGGGCCTAACCAGGAGGCTGCAGGCGGTACGAGATTCTAAAATCCGAGATGTAGAGTCAAAAAGAGAACTCGTGCTTGGCCACTCTTATGGGTCGGCCTATATACTGAAATGCATTCCTGATCTTCTTCGATTGCACCTCAAAACCGCTGCAACCATGGATTTTGATATAGTGTGCAAGACGTTGACGTCGCCCGCCGCTGTTGCCGGCAGCATCTGCCTCGCGGCGGCCATTTACTTGTACGTCTTCCCTCGAAAGCAGACGCTGAAGTTTCCCGTCGTCTTGGTCGAGGACGGCGGCATGGACAGTCGCGCCGCTGTGGAATACGGCTATTCAGAGGTAGACACGCATCTTCAGTCTTTTGTCCTGACGGCGAATTGCTTACACTGGAGACAGCACCCCGATCAGCCGTTTGTGCTGCAGTCGAAAACGAGGACATTGGTTCTGCTGCCTCCCAAATACTTTGACGAGATCCGTTCCATCCCCGAATCGAAATGGAGTGGAAGACTGTCGGCGCGAAACCTCTTCCAGAGCCGCTACACTCGCATTGGCGATAACAGCCCGCAGGTCGTTCACACGGTCAAGACCGACCTGACCCGTCACATTGGCAAGACGCTCGATGCACTTCAGGACGAGATGGCGTTTGCCGCCGAGCAAGCCATCGGTGCGTGCGAAGACTGGACGCCCGTCGTTCCCTACCCGGCACTCCTGCGCGTCGTTTCGTTGATCTCGGGCCGCGTCCTGGTTGGTCTCCCCTTCAGCCGGACGGAGCAGTGGATTCAGCTCTCTATCAACTTCACTATGCTCTGCTTTGGCGCGGCGCAAAAGTACGCCACGTACTCGTCGTGGCTGCGCCCATTTATCGTGCCGTTCTTGGACGTGACGGGCAACATTCACAGGCAGCGCAAAGCTGCCACAGCGCTGCTGGCACCCGTCATCACCGAGTATAAGAACTCCGTGGAGTCGGATGGGGAGCCGACCAACATGATCCAGTGGGCGCTCGCGAGTGCCAATGACGACTCCATGACGGCCGAGGAGCAGGCAGACATCCAGCTCACGCTTAGCATGGCTGCTATTCGTAAGTATATATATTGGTATCCGGAGGGGACAGAATTGCTAACATGGTTGCAGACACGACATCAACGACGGTAGTTACTACGACAACCTCGATGCGAAGCAGGCTGACTTCTTTCATTAGGTCCTCTACTGCCTCTACGATCTCTGCGCTCACCCCGAATATATCGAGCCTCTGCGCGAAGAGATTAAGACTGTTCTTGCCGAAACCGACGGCCGCCTTGTCAAGCGCAACATGGCCAAGCTGCGCAAGCTCGACAGTTTCATCAAGGAGTCGCAGCGCCTGAGCCCCCCTGGTCTAGGTATGACGTGAAGGCCGCCCATGTTCGAAACAAGCAGCTAATTGAGATTCACCACAGTCGCAATGCAGCGCATCGTAGTCTCCGACATCACGCTCTCCGACGGCAGCCTTCTTCCCCGAGGCACCGCCGTTGGCGTGCCAAACTGGGGCGTCACCCGCGACGACCGGCTTTGGACGAACCCCGAGACATTCGACGGTTTCCGTTTCGCCAGGTTGCGCGATGAGGCCGGTGCAGAGCACAGACACCAGTTTGCAACCGCCGGACCGGATTCGCTGAGCTTTGGCTACGGGCCCCAGGCGTGCCCTGGACGCTTCTTCGCCAGCAACGAGATCAAGGTGCTCCTGGCCCATCTACTGCTCAACTACGACTTTAGGATGGAGGGGAACCGCCCGCAGAACATCATCCACGAGCTTACCGTCATGCCCAACAGAGGCGTAAACGTTCTCTTCAAGAAGCGCGCTAGAGACACAAGAAATGGATAATAATATATATATATATTGTAGATTTAAGAATATTTTACAGCTTTACTTTACAGACTTGACAAAATCCACAATAGTCGTCTCCAGCGGCGTCCACGAGAGACCCAGCAGAGCGTTCGTCTTATCGTTGTTGTAGCTAATGCCAAATGCTCCAGCATCGCCCTTGACGTCAGGGGCAGGCAGTTGGTCCTTGAAGGAGTACTCGCCCGCGCGCACAATCTCAGCAAGCCGGGAATTGCTAAAGCGCCCGCCAACAGTGAAGAGGCGCTTGCCGCCCGCGTCGGAAAGCTCCATGCCGCGAACGTGGGCTGCGGCGACATCGCGAACATCGACGAAGAGGTTGACCGGCCCAGCAGGCGGGATCTGCTCTTTCCACTTGCCAGCCATGAGATCTGAGAGCGCCTGGTTGGAGACGTTTATCGAGCCGGCCGAGCGAAGATGGGGAAGCACAGGGCCAAACACAACCGGAGGGTTGACCGTGACGAGGTCGAAGTTTGGCTTGTGGTCCGCGACGTAGTCCCAGGCTGCTCGCTCGGCGAGCGCTTTAGCCAACATGTATGCGCGGCCGGGGCCCTGGTTGAGAGCCTCCATGCCACAAGGGTTCCACGTCTCTTCGCCAAACGTTGCCGTGGGGTTGGCTACGTCAAGAATGGCCGCGATGGAAGACGTGATGATGATGCGGCGAACCTGCGGCGCATCTCGCTGCACCGCGCGCAAGACGTTTGTTGTGCCGAGCAGAGCAGGGTCGATGAGCTCCGTCTTTGCATCGGTGAACTTGAGCGTGCATGGACTGGCCGTGTGCATCACAGCCTCGATGCCCGGCAGCTTGACGGCCTCGTCAAAGGCCTGTTCGTGCGCAATCTCGGGCACGATGACCACCTGGAGACGTTCCGCGGCATGTCTGTAACCGGACACCACTCTGTCTGCCTTTTCCTGCGAGCGTACCGTGGTGACCACGTAATGCCCTTGGTCCAGGAGCTGCTGGATGATGTGCGCTGCGATGTCTGATTAGTCGTGATTGCACCAGCGTCCGTCTGTTAACTTACAAGCAATGAAGCCCGTGCCTCCGGTAACGAGAACCTTGGTCATGATGAGTAGAATCCTACAATTGCGCGAGCACTCTGCTGTTGTATCGTGCCGCCTTGCTCCAGGGACACAGAACGCGGTCTCACGGAGATGTGTTAAATCAAAGTGCATCCTGGCCATACTAGGTTGAATGAAGTCGGAATAACGTCCACACTACCTAAACAGGCTAAGCTAGAAGATTAGGCTTAAGTTAATAAGCACTAAAGTGGACCCGTATTAAGCGGGGCAACCCTAATCTAGAAGTCTATTTTCTACTAGCTGATTTATATAAATAGATAGTGTTTAGTCTTAACTTATAGTTAAATACTATGTAGAAGTTAAATACTACATACATGTAGAACTACAGCCTTAGTAACTCGATTTCTTCAAAGTCTATTCAAACACTCTAGTTCGACGGCCCGCTTGGTGTCGTGTCAGATTCTTGGTCGGTTGAGGGTACGGAGTAGGAAGTTACTTTCAGCTACCGGCGCATACATGTGAAAGCTCGTGGAAGAAATGGTCAGTAGACTATGTTTACAAACGATCTAAAACTTTCGTTCTGCACCAACAGTCGCATCTGTTCGCTTTGCAGGGATAGCCAGACGTATATATCATCGCTTGGCGGGGGTGACGGCACAACAACGGCGAGTGTGCGAGGGTAGGCCACAGGAACAGCCAGAACAGGCGGTCCAAGGCCAAAGTTGACCGAGTAGAAAGCCAGTCGACTTTGATTGGAAAATGCCTGACAGATCATCAGAGAGTAGAGAACGCGTGCCTTGCTGCCGAGTAGGCGGATGGACTGCATGGCGCGCCTGATGAGCCGCTCGATGGCGTTTCGATCCGCCGTATCAACGGTCTTGCGGCATTCCATAGCCACTGCGATGAGAGATTTGCCGCAAATGGGTTCGAAAAGCTGGTCTGTTGGCACCGTAACGAAGAGGCCGACGGCACAGTTGCCTACGTATGCCTCCGGTATGTCCAGACGATGCCGAAGGTCGCATGGGACGATGGCCTTGACTTTGGGGGCGCCCGGTTTCGCGGATGTGCTCTGTGCATATGCCATGGTGAAGAGTGCCACGATCAGATCATTGTCGGAGATGGCGTTGCCCGACTGCTTTGCTTCATCCCTGACCGCGTCCATGCTGTTTCGACTGATGGCAAACAGGTGGCTCTCCGAGTCACCAGATATCAGGTTCTTCTTCAAGAAAAAAGCGAGGATATTCAGGAGAAGAGACAGCAACAAGCACAGCGGATATAACGGCCAGGGCAGCGGCGAAGGCTGTACCGCAGCTGGCAGCCGCCGATACATGGCATCTCTGCTCAGTATGACTTCTGGCTTTCTGCTCAATATGGCTGGCTTTCTGCTCAATATGGCTGGCTTTTTGCTCAACATGGCTGGCTCTCTGCTCAACATGACTGGCTTTGGCTGTGGTGTGTTGGCTGGACTCTCGAGTCGACAGCAATCTGCCCAGCAGTTGATAAAGGCTACAACGCCCTTGGCATCGAACGCAGCATGGGCAATGCGAACCAAGACCGCGACACCACCGTTGTCGACAAAACGGCACAGCCGCACGCGAACGAGCTTTGCTGGGCCTTGCTCGCCAGCGCTAAGCAGAGGATCTTCCACTCTGAGGTCTGCAGACCAGTGACTGTAGCGAAAGCCTCTCTGTTTGAGCACGCCAAACGGGATGTCGGCCGTCGTTGTCTCCCAGCCCGGCATGTTGGGCTTCTTCGGATTGACGACGATGCTCATTGCGTTCAAGCCGCTGTGCTGCAGTTCTCCCGCAAGAATCGGAAACTGTTGTAGAGCGCGGTATAAGCCTCTGTGGAGGCGCTGCTCGAGTTTGAACCCATCTTCGCGCGTGGAATTGTCAAAGAAGAAGCAGTTGGAGATGTAGAGGTGGCTGGCGATGATGTCCAGAGGCGACAGAGGATACACGGCCTCTGGCAGGTCTTTCAACGTCTCGTCCATCAGCGTATGTTCAAACAGCAGTCCATCGGCAGCTCAACGAAGCTGCCTCACTGCTTACTATGTATATCTGCGTCACTGCTTATATCTGCGTCACTGCTTATATCTATCACTCTAGTGGAGATTCGTATCGACTGGATCTGATGAGCAATACGAACCCGTCCCAAGACTCTTTTATTCAGCTGATGAGAAAGACAAGGCATGGTTCGTTATCATATCCACTGGAATACGATAGACCTCGCTTCGCTCCGTCGATTATCATCGTCAACAGCTGTGACTGCTGGCAAATCTCATCCAGCAATGAACCGACTGACAGAATACCCAACACTGCTGCTGGCCGTGGCGGGCTCGTACGTGATATGGATACTGCTCCAAGGCTTTGTCCTGTCGCCTCTTCGACGGATTCCCGGCCCAGCGCTCGCGCGAGTCACAGTCCTGCGAGCTCTACGCAACAGGCTGCCGAAAAAGGTCGTCCAGACGGCGCTCGCAGACTTTGAACGCTACGGCGACATCTACGTCTCGCGGCCGGACACCGTCACCATCAGCCACCCCGTCGATGTCCGGGCTGTGCTCGGCGCAAGAGACTCGTGGAAGATTGACGTGTACCAGGGCCTCCAGGACCCGGTGCTCAAGAACCTCGTAACGTTCAACCACCCGCAGCTCGCGAGCCAGAGGCGACGTCAAATAAGCCCCTTTCTCAACAGCAATGCATACCTTGTGCAGATGGAGGACACCGTCCTGGAGCACGGCGCCGTCGCTCTGATGGCCAGGTGGAACGCCGGACTTGCGCAGAGCGAGGAGATCGAGATCAACTACAGAAACGACACGCAGCTGGCGACCTTCAACATCATGAGCGCGCTTGCGTTTGGCCGCGATCTTTCGGGGCAGGCGGACAGCGCTGTTATCGTGGACTGGATTGCCGCAACGGCCGTCTACATCGGCGTCAGCATCAACTTCAAGGCGCTGCTGCACTTCCCGTTTTCTCTCGTCATAGCCCCATGGCTGGCAAAGTACAGGGATTTTGTGCAGTTCGGCAAGGAGTCCGTCGCCCTGCGTCGTGAGATGATGGCGAGCGCCCTCTCCAGGGACGAGCTTCCCAAGGACGTGCTCCAGGCCTTCATCGACGCCGAAGACCCGGACTCCAAGGTGAAGATGACACCGCAGGAGATTCAGGCAGAGAGCGTGGGCATGCAGCTCGCGGGCAGCGAGACTACCTCCGCATCGCTCACCTGGGCGCTTCACCTGTTCACTCTCTACCCCGATGCGCTGCGCAGAGCGACGCTCGAGATCCGCAGCCAGTTCGACGCCAACCAGCTCGTTCGATACGCTGATTGCCGGAAGACTCTACCGTTCCTGGAATCCTTCGTCTATGAAACATTCCGCTACGCGCCCATCACCTCGGGCTTCATGCCCCGGACGTCGCCAAGGGACATGGAGCTCCAGGGCCACTCTATCCCAGCGGGAACGAAGGTCGCCTTCAACCTGCTGGCTCTGAACAACCGGAGAGACGTATGGGAGACGCCGGAGAGATTCATCCCCGATCGATTCATCGGCAACGAGGACGGCAAGAAGAATATATTTGCGTTTTCATACGGTCCGCGAAGCTGTGTTGGTCAAAACCTGGCGTGGATGGAGATCATGACCATCCTGGCCAACATGCTGCTGCATTTCGACATTGCGCTCCCCAGAGACGCAGTTTACGGGCCAGAGAACGTTGGCGAAGGGGGCGTCCCGCGGCTGATGGAGACGCAGTGCCATATTGTATTTGCGCCGGTCCACCCCGAGCGGGATTGCAGGCTACTTCTGTCACGGAAGATCTGACTATGACCACTTTGAACATGTCTACTATATATGACCACTTTGAACATGTCTATGATTAAATGGTGTAATATTGCTTTGTATGTATATCAACTAGCTAAACACTGAGCGCTATCGTGAAACTACTGGTCGAGGAACCCGGTGTGAACCCTCTGGCCGACTGTTGCGTCCAGGTAAGCGACAGTGCCGATTCTCGTCTCGTCGTCGATGCACTCCATAGCAGCCTCCGCAACCTGCTCGGGCTGCAGCCTGGCCAGGCCCATGTTTCTCATGTCCTCCTCGGGCGTGTAGCCAGGCCCTGACCTGTCGGTGGGCACGCGGAAGGACATGTTCTTGTCGAAGCCGGTGGCAATAGCAGTCGGCGCCACAGCGTTGACGCGGATTCGAGGGCCGAACGAGCGGCAGGCGAAAGTAAACTGGGCAGCACCGGCCTTAGCAGCACCGTAGGCAGCGATGCTGGCATGCGTCTTGAAGGACGAAGACGAGGTGATGCTGACCACGTTAGCCTTGATGTCCGGGTGCTCGTTCCAGAACTTGATGGCCTGCTGCGTAGCGTAGATCGGAGCGGTCAGGTTGATGGCAATCGTGTCCTTGACGTGCTCGGCGGTGATGGCAAGGAAGGGAGCGCGGAGGTAGCCGGCGTTGTTGATGAGCACGGAGAAGCGCGAGAACCTGGCGACGGTCTCAGCAATCAGGTTGTGGATGTCGTCCGTCCTGGCCAGGTCGCAGGCCATGAACACGGCAGTGCCCTCGCCATGCTCCTTGTTGATGGCGGCGACAGCTTCATTGCCCTGCTCAACGGCAACATCGCCCACGACGACAATGTAGCCACGGCGGGCAAGCATCCAGGCGATAGCAAGACCGACGCCGGCGGCACCGCCAGTGACAATGGCAACTTTGGCAGACACAACTTCTTTGGCAGACATTATTTCTGAGATGGACGCTGTAGGTGTTGACACGGCGTACTACATAGTAGTATAAGAAGCCAGCGATACTGTATGTAAACTTCCGCCGTATACGAGAGCGGAGCGGAAGTATACGAGGTCGGAGCGGAAATATACGAGGTCGGATTAAACACTATCCCTGTTGATGTTAGATTTATATCCCTGCAACCGATAAAGATCTTCGGCGAGTTATAGGCTTAAGATAGTCTACGCGTATATATAGATGAAGGATTTCAACCGCTGAAAGAGATGTACGCTTTCGAATTAAGTACAAGATCTGGTGATAGGTAGGGGAAGCCTTGCTTATTAGAGGGCCTTCGAGACATTAATGATAGATTGAACGACAACATTAACACGTTACATCGGTGCAGGTAAGCTTACTGTAGAGCTCGTATCCAGAGACAGCAATATCATGCTTAGTGCTGAGCCAAGAAGGCCGGTCAGCGTAGTAACATTCTGGCTGGAATGACAAGAGAGAGCGTCACCGCGCCTTTACGTAGAGATCGTCCCCGTAGCGCTCGATGTACCTGCCAATGGCGCTGAGGGTGAAGTGGAACTTGTAGTTGGGATATCTCATGCCTCCCGGGCAGGCAAAGATGCCCTCCAGCGAGCCCGGCAGCCACTCGCCCGTGGCCTGCTGCGCGCGCATCAGCCACCGGATGCCCCTTCGCAGCGCATCCCTGCTGGAGCAATGCGCCGCAACGAGGCCCGCCAGCGCATACGCAGTGCACGTCACCTGGCTGCCGGCGGGATCCTGCACGTAGCGCTTCTCTCTGATGCTGGCGAGGTCTTCGCCCCAGCCGCCGTCTTCGTTCTGGTGCTGCAGCAGGAAGCTGCAGGCATCGCGACACGTTTCGCTGTTGCTTTCCCGCAGGCCGACGGTCTCCAGGCCCTGCAGGGCAAACATGGTGGCGTACGTGAAGCACACACCCCAGGACGCAAGCCATCCGCCGCAGGGGAACTGTGCTTTGATGAGATAGCGCGCGCAGCGGCCGATGATGGCCTGGATCTCCACGGGACGGTGGTGCGGATACGCCTTGGTGAACGTGTCGAGGCAGAGCAGCACGGAGCTTGTGCACTCTGGATACAGGCTCTCCGTCATGACGTTGTCGTAGAGCTCGGTGATGTTGAGCAGCTCCAGGGCTTTGGGCCCACGAAGGGGCTCGAACGCCGAGTAGCCATCGCATCCGTTCTCCATGCCAACGATGAGATCGACCGCCTCCGCCAGGCGTTCGTCCGAAACCAGCTTGG